GCGGTGGGGTAGTCTAGTGGTTAAAGCGTCCGCTCGTCACGCAGAAGACCCGGGTTCGATTCCCCACATGGGTACAGTGTGTGAAGCCCATTTCCCTCGCTGTGATATTGCTGGAAAATTGCTAAAAGCGGCGTAAAACCAAACTCACTCACTCACACACTATGAGTGGGAATATATTGTCTACTTTCTGCATCTCTCTCTCTCTCTCTCACACACACACACACACACACACAAACACACACACACACACGACGTTAGGTTTTAGGTTAGGTTTTACGCCGCTGTTGGCATTATCACAGCAGCAATATATCAGAAGCTGACGTCATTCAAAGCTTCTCCAGAATTAACATCAGAAAAGCAAAAGGACCTGACAACCTTGACGGCATTGTGTGGAAGGAGTGCAGACTTCAACTGTGTACAGTTTTCACTAGATTGTTTCAATTCTCAGTGAATACACGTTATTCCTTCGGTCTGGAAAACATCAGAAATTGTACCAGTTCTTAAAAAGACACAACCTAAAGAACTCAACGACTACAGGCCAGTTGCTCTCACATCTATAGCAATGAAGTCGCTGGAACGCATCTTGTTGAGACATCTCCGTCAGGAAGTTGCCCACATATTGGACCCGCTTCAGTTCGCCTACAGGTCAAGGAGAGGAGTTGTTGATGCCACACTGTCACTCCTTAATACTGTCTATAAACATCTAGAGACACCTAAGTCATACATCAGGATCCTCTTCGTTGACTTTTCATCTGCGTTCAACACTATCCAGCCACATATCATGATACAGAAACTGTTAGACATTGGCGTTAACTCATACCTCATCAAGTGGATCGAAAACGTTCTTGTGGACAGACAGCAGTACGTGAAAGTTAACGGGGCTGTATCGAGTAAACGGACCACCAACACTGGTACACCACAAGGCTGTGTAATATCTCCTGTTCTTTTCACCCTCTACACTAATGATTGTGCAAGCTCGAATTCAACCTGTTCAACTGTAAAGTTCGCAGATGATGCAGCAATTGTCGGCAAACTGAACCACACTGATTCTGAAAAACTGTATAAAGAGGACATTAATCATTTTACGACTTGGTGTGCAGAAAACCACTCAATCTTAAATGTCACAAAAAACAAAGGAACTGATAATTGACTTTCGGAGTAAACCACAGAACTGCTTCCAGTGATACTAGTAATCAACGGTGAATGTGTTGAGACAGTGTCGGAGTATAAGTATCTGGGAACCTTCATTGACTCTAAGCTGAACTGGAACTCTAACACTGAAGCCTTATACAAAAAGTGTCAACAACGTCTTCATCTCATGCGTAAACTGTGATCTTTTAATGTTAACCCATCTGTGATGGCATCTTTTTTATGTAGCATTTATTCAGAGTATTTTAACGTTTTCCTTCCATTGTTGGTACGGGTCTCTCTCAGTTCATCTCAAATCTAAAATACACAAAATTGTTAACACTGCAAGTAAAATCGCTGGGGTCAGATTTGAATGTTTATCATCAATATATGAGCGGCAAATCGTGAATCAAGCTGTCAAAATCATATCTAACCGTACTCACTACTTAAATTCGGAATACACCCTCCTCCCTTCAGGTCGCCGCTACAAAGTTCCAATTGTGAAAACTAAGAGAGCCCGTACATCCTTTATTCCAAGTACCACATCTCTCTTAAACAAATGCGAAGATACCTAAATCAAAGAATTTATGTAAATATGTTTGGTATCTCTCTAATGTGTCAGTAGCTCTTCTGATGTAACACAAATTCCTGAAAAGGCATTAAGGTATTATTCTATTCTATTCTATATCACGGCGGGGGACACCAAAAATGGGCTTTACACATTGTTCGCATGTGGAGATTCGAACCCCTGTCTTCAACGTGAGTTAGTAATGGTTTGCGCCGTCCTTAGCAATATACCAGAAATTGGTTCCACACATTGTACCCATGCGTGAAATCAAACCTGGGCCCTCAGCGTGCGGAACGAACGCCTTAACCTCCACAACGTGTCTGAAATATATTCTTAGGTAAATGCATATTGTATACCTTCTAGCTGTACTCGAGGTTACGAGTCAATTAATTCTCAATCGATTTGTCTGGCTGTCTCTTCAACTTGCACATTATGCCGAATGTTCTTTTGGTGATTTTTTTAAAAAAGATGACAACATATTGTTTTTTCATCCTTGGACACCGCTTATACACATCCGTCTCTGGCAGCGCATTTCGCAGCCTGGTTCCCGGGGTCTGCTGCGCTACGCTTCGACCCTTGGTATAGGCTGCACATTTTGCCGTGAGGAGTTGCTCCCCTTGGACACGAAGAATACCGGTTCGCCTAGATTGTCTCTTGGTTTGCCGGCACAGTATCCATGACCGTGGGTTTCACCGACATGAACGTCTCAAACCTGCATCGGAGTTTCCTCACGCATTTAGCTGCAAGTATGAGGGGCATTGGTTCATTGCTGCTTTTCTTTACCACATCAGTGACACCCTTGGCCCCGTTTCACAAAGCTCTTGTAACTTTTCTCGCATCATTCGTACTCCCTTATTACAGTATAGGAGCAGAGACCATATATATATGGTCTCTGATAGGAGGTACGAATGCTACGAGAAAAGTTACGAGATATTGGGCTTACGAGAGCTTTGTGAAACGGGACCTAGTATGATAACATACCTTGACGTTATCGCGAGTCGAGCATAAGTGCTACATTCATAAGGGATATACGAAACGGTCGTAGCGCTAAGATGATCGTAACTCCCATACTTTAACATAGACTTACGACAGTCGTAGCTCAACGATCGTTTTGTTGAACGGGGTCCAGGACCTGCGTTTTGGGTTGGAACAATACATAACCCAGTTACACTCACTCACTCACGCCGGGATTGTCCTGAAGTAGCTAAGAAACATAGCGTTCACTGACAGTGAACGCTATGTATCTTAGCTAGTCCTGAAGGTATGGTTTTGTTTGTCGTTTTTCGGAATGACAAGGTAGAAGGGTAGCCTGATTGAAGGAAAGTGTTCGACTCCCCCACACTGGTAGGTATTAGCAGGGAGAATAGAAGATGCTGTAGATTATCCCTGGTGTTAGGGTTGGCACGCCCAAGGGATGCAACTCTGACAAATGTTTTACAGCTCGATGTGTTGGTCAAAAGATGGCAACTAAAACTCTACATGAATAAGATGCATGTGTCTTAGTGCTGCTGAAGTCAGTGTGCGAAATAGCCACTAATCCGGTAGCACGTGGCTAGAAAAAATCCAGTCTGGCCAGTAAATCTTCACAGTCATAGTGAATTTTCATAGGATCATTTTGCAAATATATATCACTCTCTCCGACTTGTTAAGTTATGATACACTTTTAGTTCATGCAAGATTGTGGCCTGATCAAAATGTTCATCATATTAGCAGCTTAATGATGAAACCGGTATCTACATTCAACTTTCAGGCATAGCTAGCCCGACCAGGTAGCAAAATTTGAAAACTATTTTGCACACTGTGCTGAAGGACTACAGAATGGATTACGTAATGAAAGCAAAATCTAGATTATATAAAAGCAACTCTGGCCAGCTCTATTGTCACAAAGATGACATGAATTTATTATCACGTTACGAAACATTTCATAGACTATATATTTGTCTAGCCTCTGGGTGCGTGCATGGCTGCTTACATAATCCAGTTTAATAGACACTCTGGCAAAGTTTTTAAAAGGGTGCCTCACACAGAAACACTGTACCTTGAGCCCTACAGTCAGTTTTCTAGCCCTGATGGTAGAATCAGACAGTTAAACACATATAAAACACATCTTTGAAAAATCTTCTTCATGAAGATCTGGTTTAAAACTGATCTTCAGCAAACCATGCTTGTCGTAAGAGGCGACTAAGGGGGTTGGGTGGTCAACCTCGCTGATTTGTTAGACACATCATATCCCAATTGGGTAGATAGATGCTCATGCTGATGATCACTGGATCGTCTGGTCCAGACATGTTTATTTACATACCGTTGCCATATAGCTGGAATATTGCTGATGATCACTGGATCGTCTGGTCCAGACATGTTTATTTACATACCGTTGCCATATAGCTGGAATATTGCTGATGATCACTGGATCGTCTGGTCCAGACATGTTTATTTACATACCGTTGCCATATAGCTGGAATATTGCTGAGTACTGCATTAAACAACAAAGAGTAAGTGAGTGTGTGGTTGGATGGAAGAGGTTTGACAGGGCCATACAGGGTTCCATTAGAGTTATAATTACCAGAGAACTGCATCTCTGTTCAAAGAAGTGTTAAAATATACTCACCTAATCGCAGGTAACAGAAAAGGGTGAATTAGATTAAACAGGCTTTGAACAGTTTCTGATGATATCAAGGTTGGGCAGCCTGAGGAACATCTGTAGTAATGCAGGTGTTTACACCTTCACCACTTTGTTAAAACCCATAGGTATGGTGCTGGCATACCCAGATTTAAACTCATGAGTTAGTGAGTCAGTTTTACGCCACTTTTGCAATATTCCAGCAATATCACAGCAGGCTTCACACCTTGTACCCATGTGGGCGATCAAACCCAAGTCATCAGCGTGACAAACACATTAACCAAACTACCCCACCGCCCCCATGAGTTAGTGAGTTTAGTTTTACACTGCTTTTAGCAATATTCCAGCAATAACACGGTAGAGGACACCAGAAATGAGCTTCACACATTGTACCATGTGGGGAATCAAACCCGAGTCTTCTGCGTGACAAGCGAACACTTTAACCACTAGACTACCCCACCGCCCCCATGAGTTAGTGACTGTGAAGTTTGACAGTGCATTTAGCAATATTCCAGCAATATCACGGTAGAGGACACCAGACATGGGCTTCACACATTGTACCCATGAGGGGAATCAAATACAGGTTTTCAGCTAAGGAGCAAAAGCTTTAACCACTCTGCACATCTAATGTTACTTAACTTATCCAACTGTGCAATGAGAGGCAGAAAACACTGACACGTGACATACATAGTAATGTTTTATTATCATATAGCAGTGTTTGCTCTGTGCCCCAGTGTCTACTACCCCGGGGATGCCCTGCCCCATGCACCAGCCCCCAAGCATGTCAGGCTATGAGTAGGCTCCCTGCAACACATAAACCATCTACACTAGCACAAACCACAACACATTAACTTCAGCAAATACAGATCATCGCTTTCATTGACAGATACTGAATAGCATTTTTATTACAGACACTTCACATGGATTATTTTTTGGCTGGGCAAGGAAACCCTGTGTTCAAATGAAGTAAATTTATGCATGTCTCAGTTTTTACTTCAAAAGACCCTTTTAGGATAAACAACAAGCCTGAAACAAACATTAATTTTCAAAATTATATCCAATATTCTCATTTACTCACATGCAATGAAAACAAATTATTTTGTGAGCACGGTAAAAACAATGAGATTACACCCCTAACAATGCAATGGTTGTGTCTAATTATCTCATGCCTAATATACACATAAATAGATTTTGGTGGCTATTTTCCAAATATTACAAATATTCAAATTTCTGGGTCAGTATATTATCAACTTAACATAAAATACATGTGATATTTAAAAAATTACCTTCAGTTTTAAATTTTATCCTCCAAAATCATCTCATTTGTCCTTGAAATTGTTCAGTAATGATTGTCTGATTGTCCAACATAAATTAAGTACAGAGACGATCAAATTTGGATGTAACAATAGACATGAGGGTAAGGTAGTTAGCACAAAACAAATTTACATTTTGCAACAGTGACATATTTAGTTTTCAGTTTCACAAAACGAAAATGTTCGATATCAACTGTCTTGTGGAATTTGCCACCCCACAAAATACTTGTACTCTTAACAAACTTGGAGTCAACATCAAGTTTTGGGACAGAAGGAGCTCCGTGTGAGGCGAAATATTCTATTTCAAAAGTCAGTCTGCAATCTTTCTTAAATTTGTTGTACATATTTCAGTACAGCTGTTGTATAGTGCTGGAACAAGTTTTCCTGGTTTCAAGGCTGAGTGAGTTTAGTTTTACGCCACTTTTCGCAATACTCCAGTAATATCACGGCACTGTGGGGGACACCAGAAATGGGCTTCACACATTTTACCCATGTGGGGAATTGAACCCGGACCTTCAGTGTGACGAGCGAACACTTTAACCATTAGGTGACCCCACCGCCCATACTGTACAGACGAGTCACACTGACATGTGGACAACATACAAACCAATAACGTCTAATCTGGATACCAACTAACAGGTCGCTCACAACCGAACTATCTCTCACTATTCTGCAGATGTGGGTGGTGCTGACCTATCTTGAAATAGAATATTCCTTTTGGACAAGCTTCAAGACAATTTCACACACAATATATTATTTATACAAATAACCAGCATGTGCAGCAAACAGTATGATTTGGAAAAACAAATTATTTTGTTCCAGCACTGTTCTGTAAACAAAAAGGCTTCTCCTCCCTCCCCCTATGAAACATGTAACCCTACTCAGTTCTTTACCACAATATACATCCAAAATAAGGTTAATATAATGACACTGCACCAAACAGCTTCAACGAGAGAACAAAAAGTCTGCCATTTTTTTAAACAAGACATTCAAACATGCATATCTGTGGCATAAAAATACAAGGCATTTAAAATTGCATAGATTTCAAATAGATTGTATAATGAATGCACAACATGTGCACAGTCTCTGATAACATACATGTATGGTATTGTTAGTGACAGTACAGCGTCTGGAAGGCAATGTTTCACATTTCCCCAACAATAAATAATTATAGGTAAAGTAATAATGTCAATCAATAAAACTCTGAAATCATCGTCTGTCAGCTGCTGCGATATCTTGGGTAATGCTTATAAATAACAAAATTTGTAAATGCAAAACATTGATAACACTGAGATTATACCAACTTGATTTTCAGAGAAGAGATTGTCCCATTGGTTCAAAACAAGCTTACAAGCTTCTTAAATATTTTATATGTACAACAAAACATTTCTTGACATAACAGTAAACAGGATACAGAAAAAACAGACCCGAGATCAAATTCTGTGCGATTCTAATATTACGTCACATCTAATGTGAAACAAAAAATAGCCATTTGTAGCAATTTAAGAAAAGAATATAAGAAAAGAGAAACAAATATTGTCATCCTATTCTGTGTTATCATGAACAACATCTTTACATGAATCAACATAAATGTTTGTCATAAATAAATAGTGACACTTGATAGTGATATACAAGAGTTATTCAATACCATATGCAACCCAATCAGCATCCAGAAAAAGTGAGAGTTTCAATGCAAGCCTGAGCGAAGCAATACACTGACGTCGGGGTTTTTACTGTTTCCTTACATGTCAAGGTGTGCTACCTGTATTTCCAGGTGTTTTACTGTTACCAGGTATTTTCAGGTGTTTTACTGTTACCTGACATGTCAAGTTGTGCTACCTGTATTTCCAGGTGTGTTATTGTTACCAGGTATTTCCAGGTGTGTTATTGTTACCAGGCATCAAGGTGTGGTACCATTACCAGACATGTTCAGGTGTCCAATCTAATAATTCATAAATTTTCATGTGTTGTACTGAACTCCCAGTAGGGACCAGTTTGCAATACATACAAATATACATACTCCTATCATTAAACCCTGCCATTACCCCAAATATATATCTACAAAACATCTATGCACATTTCATTCATTAACATATAAACAACACTGTTCCTGTACATCTGCATTCTATCTGCTAGGGTTGAATATGGTATTGTTACACAACAATAACATGTTATTGGCACTTACAGACTTCGTCGTAACCCAGCAAAAAGTTGTCAACCCACAGGGTGCGTTGCAAGCCGTGAATCGCTTAGAGTAAGCAAAGTAATCGCTTATCCATTGCAACAGCTCATATATATATAGCGCTTGCCCACTATTCCAAAATTGGCGGAGTGATTACCGATTGCTCGCCTTGAATAATTAATGAAGAACGTAATAGAACAGTCTCGATGGCGAGCTGATGAATTTATCACTACTGATGACTACTTCGAAGATGTGGAACAAACTGAGGATGCTGGGATGTCAGCTGCCTTTGTCCATTTCCAGCTGATCCAGTAAGACATTTCTTGTTGAGCTGTCAAATTCCCCTCCGCCACCATTTCGGTTTGAGAATGAAGCAACCTCAGCCAGTGATTGGTGCGACTACCTGCAGCTGTAAGTTAGTGCTCTGCTGTAAGCTGTATATTTGCTGGCAAGCGATTGACTGTTTGCAACGCACCCACAGAACAGGTGGCAGCAGCTTTGTGCACACCAACCTGGTGATATAATGTTATACTTCATATTAACCCAGATGATACGATGTGCTACATTGTAAGCTCAATGATACAGTAATATTCTACACACTGTACATGATTGTTTATAGTGACCTTTACTTTGTATGCAGCCTACTCCACAGCACAGCCTAGCACAGTTCTACAGCCATCCTCAACCAATGTCTATAGATGACACATGAGAATGACACATTTGATAAAATACCCATGCCGTTAAGGATTTCAAATTTTCAACTATCAGACAGCCTAGTAACAAAGAAAACCTAGGAAAGTATCAATGATGTGAAGACCTTTATTTCATCATCATCATCATCATCGTCAATTTGTCTTAACCCAAATCTAAAATCTAAAAAGGAAGCAATAATGATGAGGTCATTTTATAAACTTATTTGCTAGCAAATATCTGCTTCCTCTAAATAATACATTTCTGTTAACAAAGTTAATGAAATGGTTGTCTAATGTCATGTTCAAATGTATACAATGACCTTGTATGCAAGGATAAACCTTGTGGTCCCACAAAATCTTTTCTTATAGACAACTGTCAGTTAAACGTGAGAAATTAAACAGTGCATACAAAAAAAATAAATATGCAATTCTCTGTATGAGAAGCCATTAGTACATGATTTGTCACAGGAATCCTCAAAAGCCCATAAAAAGTATTAAATATAAGTTGAGGGTGACGGTTTTGTAATGCTTTGTTCCAATGGCACTGATGATGTGATGTAGATGAAAAGCCTTCACCTTGACCTGACGTAACCTGACGTAACCTTGACCTTTGGCATCATATCAACAAAGATTTCAAAAGCTGTTGAGACTGATCAATCTGAAATATATAAGATGCATGATGACAAAGAAATCTTAAGATAATTTATTGATAAAAATGTTGTACAAGGCCAGCTATATAACAACTGCATGTAAATAACTGAATGTGGGCCAGACAAACTGGTGATTATATTATGAGTAACACCGCCATGAGGGGTACAATAGGCACCAAGTCTGACCTTTAGAAAAGGTTTAGGTTGCTGGGTTTTGAAGGTTCTAAAATGCCACATTGAGAAATACCCCCAGCATAGCCTGAAATCCTCACATGGGTTAATTATTAAACATTACCGGTAAATTATTTTTATGACCAAAGTGAATACTATATAGAACAAACTTTATGGATAACAACTTCTTTTATTCGTGTGTGTGACGTTTCGATACAGATTCTTGTACCGTTGTCAAAACTTTGCCAATCTTGACAACTGTACAAGAATCCGTATCGATACTTTGCCAATCTTGACAACGGTACAAGAATCCGTATCGAAACTTTGCACTCACGAATAAAAGAAGTTGTTATCCATAAAGTTTGTTCTATATTGTACTTTCCAACATCTAAAATGCCACTCAAAGAAATGTGAATACTGATAAAGTTTTTTGGCAAACTGTGAACTACCAGCGAAATAAATTTGCTCCCTACATAAGAATGTTTGTTAAGAATCACAAAATTAATTATCAGGAAATATAGATACTTAGGAAAGCGTGTTAAGTGTATCTACATACACATTAGAATGAGTATAATGTACATGGTTTAGGCAGCATAAAGAAAGTACTGCCTGGTTACAGATAATATCATGAAACATTTTTTGAATTAGTGACATATTACAATCCACGTCTCCATATTGATAGTATAATACGATTAGTAGAAACAGCAAAACATGGACACTAGACACAAATACAATAAGTTGTTTCCCTGTACAGTGAGAGAAAATAGAGATATATATAACAACAATAAGATTTCAGATATCTATCAGCTGTTTCGACCATAAGAGCTACACAGTTGTCTCCCTTTAGCAATAGCCTGAAATATCTGAACAGTGGCTCTGTCATTATACATATTGATACAAAATGACATATGCAGCATTGTATTCTAAATCCCTTGAATTATATGTCCAGTGCTTGATGTTTAATGTTACTCTCACACTGTGCTAAACTGGAGAGAATGGCAGTTCTTACTGTAATAACAAACGCTATTAAAAGTTGAAATGTTACGATAGTGCATTCATGTATGACATTGATGTTGTTAAAACATTGTATAAAGTTGAAAAATGAAGTTTATTTATGATGATTGAAATTACAAGCAATTTCACTCACTCTTGGACACATTTACATAGAAATTGGCTTCGAAGCGTCTCCATCTTAATTCTAACAGGAAGTGAATACTCACATGGGTTATATAATTTTCTGGGACAAGTTCAAGGTTACTCCGTGGTCACACTCTTGGCAAGGTTCCGGGGGCAGTCCACCTACAATGGAAACAGTACGCTTAAGCGTGGTGAACCCTCACTTTTGTGGGTCTCAGACAAGTAGCATATGTTCAGTTATATGTCATTATAGATGATTAAATAAATAATTCTTTGATGTCAGTGGAATGACCAATCAGTGACATTAATACTTTCTTTCACTGAACATTTAATTTTAATAAATTCGATAATTTTCATAATGAACACATATGTGTGTGTATATAATATAGACATAGATATATATATAGATATATATATATATATCTTAATCAAGATTACACTTTAGTATTTAAAATTATATATATCATTATTTTTTATAATACTGACATAAAAACAAAATCACAAACAATTCTTCAAGCCTCCCCCCCAAAAAACCATATGAACTTTAACGCTTTAACAACATATTTTGATTCAAAAGGTCATCTTTTGATTGAAAAAAAACCCCAAATCCACAACAAACAAACCCAATCTAAACAAAATCATACAAATTAGATTTGTTGAGATATTTTTTAAAACAAATTCTTGTTTCAATCAAATATGTTTACATAATATAGAAAACTTGCCAATGTTGCTTATTTATTTTCTATAATAAGGAAATAATATGGTTGCAAGAAACAAGTATGTAAAAAAATAAGCAAGTATGAAAAGATGTACAGACGGTTACAGATCCCTGGCCATACAACTAACATGAGTCTGTACAGGGTGTCTAGCTCACAGTTCACTAGCATCTTCACTGTGAGACCTATTCTTATACGTATCAGATTGATGAGGTTTTTATGCTTTCAACACTGAGGAAACAAAATTTAAAACATGTATCTTTCATGTTCCTGGCCTCATGACACCTCACCAAAACACAACCCTTGGTACATGCAGCACACTCTCAGTGAGCCCTGTGTCTTCCGCAGTCTGGTCATTCTATTCTTTGTATGAAATCTCCAAGGACTGAAAGTATCAAAGGTTCAAAGGAGATCATGTTTCTGTATGCCTCTTTGGTGACCAAATGCCCCTGTGATCCTTTTTGGGGTTCCCCACCATGGCATCGCTGGTACATTGCTGGAATATTGATACAAGTGGCGGAAAATAATCTCACTTCCACTCTTCTGATACTTTGTAGCCTGGAGGTAGAGCCTCAATGGCAGAGACATATCCTCATGATCCTCCTGACCTAGGATTGTAGACAGAGAAGGGATTGTAGACAGAGAAGGGATTGTAGACAGAGAAGGGATCATAGACAGAGAAGGGATCATAGACAGAGAAGGGATTGTAGACAGAGTAGGGATTATAGACAGAGTAGGGATTGTAGACAGAGTAGGGATTGTAGACAGAGAAGGGATCATAGACAGAGAAGGGATTGTAGACAGAGTAGGGATTGTAGACAGAGAAGGGATTGTAGACAGGTAGGGATTGTAGACAGATAAGGGATTGTAGACAGAGAAGGGATTGTAGACAGAGTATGGATCATAGACAGCGAAAAGATTGTAGACAGAGTAGGGATTGTAGACAGAGAAGGGATCATAGACAGAGAAGGGATCATAGACAGAGAAGGGATTGTAGACAGAGTAGGGATTGTAGACAGAGTAGGGATTGTAGACAGAGTAGGGATTGTAGACAGAGAAGGGATTGTAGACAGAGTAGGGATTGTAGACAGAGAAGGGATCATAGACAGAGTAGGGATTGTAGACAGAGAAGGGATCATAGACAGAGAAGGGATTGTAGACAGAGTAGGGGTTGTAGACAGAGTAGGGATTGTAGACAGAGAAGGGATTGTAGACAGAGTAGGGATCATAGACAGAGAAGGGATTGTAGACAGAGTAGGGATTGTAGACAGAGAAGGGGTTGTAGACAGAGTAGGGATTGTAGACAGAGTAGGGATTGTAAGATTGTAGACAGAGTAGGGATTGTAGACAGAGTAGGGATTGTAGACAGAGAAGGGATCATAGACAGAGTAGGGATCATAGACAGAGAAGGGATTGTAGACAGAGTAGGGATTGTAGACAGAGTAGGGATTGTAGACAGAGTAGGGATTGTAGACAGAGAAGGGATTGTAGACAGTAGGGATTGTAGACAGAGAAGGGATCATAGACAGAGTAGGGATTGTAGACAGAGAAGGGATCATAGACAGAGAAGGGATTGTAGACAGAGTAGGGGTTGTAGACAGAGTAGGGATTGTAGACAGAGAAGGGATTGTAGACAGAGTAGGGATCATAGACAGAGAAGGGATTGTAGACAGAGTAGGGATTGTAGACAGAGAAGGGGTTGTAGACAGAGTAGGGATTGTAGACAGAGTAGGGATTGTAAGATTGTAGACAGAGTAGGGATTGTAGACAGAGTAGGGATTGTAGACAGAGAAGGGATCATAGACAGAGTAGGGATCATAGACAGAGAAGGGATTGTAGACAGAGTAGGGATTGTAGACAAGGTAGGGATTGTAAGATTGTAGACAGAGTAGGGATTGTAGACAGAGTAGGGATTGTAGACAGAGAAGGGATCATAGACAGAGTAGGGATCATAGACAGAGAAGGGATTGTAGACAGAGTAGGGATTGTAGACAGAGTAGGGGTTGTAGACAGAGAAGGGATCATAGACAGAGAAAGGATTGTAGACAGAGAAAGGGTTGTAGACAGAGTAGGGGTTGTAGACAGAGAAGGGATCATAGACAGAGAAAGGATTGTAGACAGAGTAAGGATTGTAGACAGAGAAGGGATTGTAGACAGAGTAGGGATCATAGACAGAGTAGGGATTGTAGACAGAGTAGGGATCGTAGACAGAGTAGGGGTTGTAGACAGAGTATGGGTTGTAGACAGAGTATGGGTTGTAGACAGAGTATGGGTTGTAGACAGAGTAGGGGTTGTAGACAGTGTAGAGATTGTGAACAGCCTATCTGGTATGCCTTGTGGCTGGCTCTTGGCAATGAAATCCCAACTGAGACCTACATGAACTTTGCCGTGTTAAATCTCTCTTTTTTTGAAGTTGGTAAAACTTACTAATCTTTGCTGCTTTCATAAGCTTTTGTAAGTTCTGATCCTCGAGAGATGTGTACTCCTGCAAAGCCAAATGCCATAGTATGATGTTCAGATCCAAGGCTGTTGGCCAGAGATTCTCTGATTAATTGTTTTGAAAGATCGGAGCCCCAAACTTAGCCTCCATAGAAACCTTGAATCCAGCATAGATATATGAAAATATGTGGCAAGGGAGGAACCCTTCAGCTTCCTCATGATCATCAAGTGCTGGAGATATTCATCCTGGGCAAAAAGTAGCTTCCATTTGTTGTACAACACTCTGATAGCCTGCACAATCTTCTTGAGTAGCCCTTGGTAGATCTCTAAGAGTGCATTAAGCACTGCAATGGAACCTCAGAGGGCTTGGATGATGGGAATGAAAATGTGGCTGAACTAGATGACTTCTACTTTCAGGCAGCCCAGAGATTCTGATTGGCTTTGTTCACTAGGGTGCTGAACTAGCTCTTCACCTGCTAAAAGGGCATGACCAAACCAGTCAAAGCTTGTTTGTGGCTCTGATCCTCTAGAGCAACCAAGGAAGAAGGGCTGTTGGAGGGTAGGTACACACCTACATATCCTCCATGACAGGCTAGAATATCCAGGTCTGTGTCCTGGGACTGATGACATAAACCAAGGTTTCTGACTTTAGTGCCTGGCTGTAAAGAGTTCAGCCTGAAAAATCCCAAACTTTATCCAAAGAGAAGACTTACAGATGTAACTTCATCTCAACAGGTGCAGGAAGGTTGGGGCTTTAGACCATGCCAGCCATCACATTCCCCACTCCTTAATGTGACTCTGTCTTATGCAAACCAATGCCCTGCTACTGGAGTGAGTGAGTTTAGTTTTACGCCACACTCAGCAATATTCAAGCTATATTGCGGCGGTCTGCAAATGATCGAGTCTGGACCAGACAATCCAGTGATCAACAGCATGAGCATCGATCTGCGCAATTGGGAACCGATGACATGTGTCAACCAAGTCAGCAAGCCTGACCACCTGATCCCATTAGTCGCCTCTTACGACAAGCATGGGTTACTGAAGATCAATATTCTAACATGGACCTTGACGGGTCCCTCCCTGCTACTTGAGGTTCAACAAATGAGCATCTCAGCTGTTAAAGCAGTGATGTGTGGATGTGTGAGTTTCAAAACTATCCTTGAAGTGAGCTTCCAATAAGATCCCATTCAATATAGAAACTGTGTGATAGTTTTTGCTATTCCGGTAAATAGCCATTGGACTGTGGAAATACCAAATAGCAGGACTAGCCACTGGTAGACTTGACCTTGAAAGTTAATATAGTGTCCTTGCTCTGAATGGATGTGGATGTGGAGATAGGCATCTTGAAGGTCCAAATAAACAAGAAGTCCAATGGCACAACACATGTTCCTAGAATTGTGATGGGGACAATCCTGAAGAGAGATTGTGACTTCTGGAACTGTCCATTGAAGGTCTTTATGCTGAAGATATCCTGGAGTCCTGGAGTATTTAGAAGACTGGGCAGCAGAAAGGGGACCCAATTCCAGATCAGCACCTACTGACTATCCCCCTTTTGTCCAACTACATGCCTATGGCATCTTGGAGAACTGCCAACTCTAAGATGGGCGATGGATGGTTTCCCTCCCAAAGAGGCTGGGCCTAGATTTCGAAGCTCTCTTAGCGCTAAGATAGCTCCGAAAATCTAGGCCCTGTCATGAACTGGCCAACAAACATTGTCTGGTTGCTTACGAGACAAAGACTTCTCTCTACTAGGGATAGGAACAACTGAGGGCAGAAGACCCGGTCCATCCAAAGTGATATCACTGGGTAGAACAGTATGGTCTAGGAACTGACATCCATCAATCATTGACCTCTGGTGGATTAGTTAAAGGTGACGGTTCTTGTGGTCTCTTGCCTCCTTTGCCGATACTTGAATTGTTCCTGGATCATAAAGAACCTAACCTTGAACCTATCATCATAGTTACAGAGGTGGAGGTTCCATCAACATCTCATGGACATGGTGAACCAAGGACATTTGTCCTGGTATCGATCATTGACCAGTATAACTGCTGCTTGAATGTCAGTGAACACGTGCAAGAATGTCAAATCAACCACCTCTGACAGGAAAGTGAATGAAGATGGGAGCATATTTCTAATCCCTGTATTGATGTTTCCTGTCCGTTGAAGGTGTGTCCTGTGCATTTAGGATTAAAGTCGGTATGTCCATTAAGTTCTGGAGTGCTGGAGAGTCTCTAAAACATGCATCCCAGAGTCAGCCAGAGTCAGCCAGGTTGGATCCTTTATCTATTACGGAAAATCTTGTCTAGTATAACATCCCTTGGGTGAAGAGTGACAACAAGTCTCAGTGCCTCATGCAGAACCCTGGCACATATTCCTCTTCTGCTGAGACTACGGGCAGCCTAAACTTGTCAGTGATCCAAGGGTTTTTCCACTACATAATCTGATTCCAGGTTTGACATTGTCGATGTTGAATCAGAGGGTACTGAAGTGTCATGCATAGCTGATGCCGAGATGTGGCAGGCCGAGCGTCTGAATCAGCTGAGGTATGTACCAGAAATCCAGACCATGAGCCTCACTGTTGATCTCAGTTGACTGATGGGAGGTGACAGCCATAACATTCTTCTGCAAATCACTAGAATGAAGTGTGTACCACATGTCTGATCCTCTCTAGAGTCTCGCTCTGTTGGGAGGGACTGTTTTTGCAGAATGTCTGATTGTCTGAGCAGATGCACTGATGATGTTAACATTCCTGCTGTGTATTCCCAAGAAAGTTAGTACGATCCCTAAAGATAAAGTGTAGAGTGTGGAGCTTTTCTGGCAGATGACTGAACATGGATGTCTGACATATTGAAGGAATCAGATTTGCCTTCCATGGTGAGTGAAGGCTGGGACAAGGCTGAATTGACTGGATCAGTACGTTGCACCAGGGTAGATCACACAGAAAACCTTTGTAACAGGCCATGTCCCAGCCATCTTGGGAGAAGGATGATCTCTGACACTTCTTGAGATATGTGTTGACGTCCCCCCTGGTGATATGATCATCACATTGAAGGAATAACAAGCATGTTCCTCCACAGTCACAACTATAACTGTGGCAGTCAGAGACTGAAAAGGTTCACTTGCAATCGCAAAAGTTTTTCTGAATGTCCACTGCAAAACAAGCCCCTGTGTGAACAAAAACACACTTCTCTATCTGACACATATGTCTTCATGGAGTCACGACAGGGTTCATCCAGGGTTCACCTAAAGCCTGCTGCGCTCTGTAGAAGCATCCTTTCTGAATGGGTTGTGTTTGGGTGAGGTGTTGCAAAGTTGGGAATCTGAAAGATACATGTTCTAAATGTTTCCGCATCAATAGCAGATAACAGAAAGAGACAGAAGCTTAAACATATAGATAATTGAGTATTGTTGTGGCCTTAACAAACTAATATCAAGTCATAGAATATAACAAAATAACATGCATGATGTCAAAGATTCCAAACAGTAAATATTTTTATATTATATGATCCAAATTGACCACAATTATTTCCTAATGAAAAGAATAGTCATTTTTTTTACATAGCATGTCAATGCCAAACCCAAATACATGTAATTATATATTAGCAGCACACAGTCACCATTATGTTTAGTAAACACCACCATGAAAAGCTGTATTGTGACTTTACTTCCATGAAGAGCCGTCTTCTCACAACAGTCAGCCAACCAATCACCGTCTAACGTAGTGGGTAACTACGGCAACCTTCTCCAGTTCTACTCTAGGTTGAGTTAAGCATGTGGGGAGAATTTTCTTCTCTGAGGAATTATAGTCCATACGAAGCATGCAGTTTGGGTCAATATAATTGTCTAGTTCCACTGGTGTATGGCTACAGGACACCCATGAATCAGTGTGGGTTTGTTGTTAATGCCATACCCTCAGAAATGTTCCAGCTGGGCAGTACAGCCACATGCATCAACCAAGTCAGCTGAGTTATAACATCATTATCCATCAAGTCCTACAGGGCTCGACTTAGCTGTAGTACACATGCAAAAGTGCTACCAATTACTGAAAAATGCAGCCTAATATCCCCATGCACCAAGTGCATTAAGAATTCAAATTTGTGTCAGGCTAACCTTGATCTTTGAATTAATCTTTGCACAGACTTGCTGCCTCTAAAGTTAGCTTACCATACAACATCAGCAATTCCTGACTAACTTATCGCAGTGCCTCAATCGCGATGTCACTGTCTGTGGGTTCTTCACGATTACGTGTGCATGTTCATATTATGTTTACAAAAATATGTTTTTAATTTATTTAACTCTGGCAGTAGACCATATCAATAAATTTGTGGGACAATGGTGCAACATGGTTCTGTTTCCGTGTGAACATGCTCCCAGTGAAAGTTAAATAAAGTACCCTAAATCGAGCCGTGCCAGGAATCTTGACCGAAACAATGCTTCATTTGTTATAAGGAAGCTGATCATACCCATGGTTTACTAATTAGGTACATACCGGTATTTGTGGACAACAATAAACTTTGCTGGCTGATTATCACATCTACTTTGTAAATGTAAAGTACCGACTAAATTTATGAGCATAAATGTTGTTTCATGTGCTGCTACTTTTTACTATCTTTATATATACTAAACTTCAGTACTGAACTACAAGTGGCCCAGTTCGCCACTGTTCATCTAGGTTCCACCTACACCAGTGTTAAAGAAATAGTAGTGCTTGGAGGGGATACTGTGAGAAGATGCACAATAGCTGAGGTTGGGGACTTGTCTGTGCATAGTCTTCATTTTGGCTTCTGAAGAGAACCTGCCAAACTTCAACCTTGATTTCAGTACTTACATCAAAACACTAGGATTAGCTGTCTTGCTGTACCGCCACGCGTTATGATTCTAGATATGTCTACCTTTGGCGTGGCCTGGCTGTGTACTAAATTTTATCCTAAATAAAATGATGGTTACATTCATAAATATGAGATGATTATATTATATAAAGGATTGTTTATGATATTGGAACAGTAAGTTTATAAAGACAGGGCCACACACAAACCACAGAGTGGGGTTCCTTGAGGAACAGTAACTCGTGGTTGATACAGGAAGCTATGAAAGTAGCACACCACAAATATACCAAAACTACTGTAAATGTTGTTACCGTGTCTACCACAACATAACGTTCTAACAATAACAGTGAAGACCAACACAGAAATGCTTACATCATATCCCCGAAGGACAGCTATATGAAAGGAAAGCAACTGCATAGGGATCACTGTTAGGATCCCTTGAAGACAATCTACATTGTGGGGGACATCCAGAAATTTATACGCATGTTTTTGGGTCTCCATGTCCGTCCTGTTACAAATGAGAATCGGCCGCCCCTATAATTGGAAAGTTCAAAATCAAGTTCCATGATAATAACTTGTGACTTCGACACAGTGTAAGGGGAAGTTGGGGGAACAGGGCTTAAGACGTGCCTGGGAGGCTGCAAGTATTGGTAACTCAACCGTCATATTTGGTAACTTTTTAAAAAATGTTAGATTTTATTTCAAGGGAGTTAATCTGACATGGAAACATGAATGTTTCAACCCACAAGCCTCCCATGCATTTCTTGTGAGGTTATTGCAGCCCAACATGCAGTCATGTTCATGGCATGAGTGAGTGAGAGAGAGTAGAAAAAGCATGCATAGCTCAAGCTGCAGAGTACAAGCGTTCCAGACAGGGAGGCCATGTATTCATGCTTACGTCAAATTTCTTCAATTCGGCAATGTGCAATGAGAGTAATTGCAATGGTATAATGGTCAGAATGCCTTGTAGGCAATCAATGTTGAGAGGTACATCAATATATTTCAAAGCCTGTGACTGCGTCTCAACGTCACCCGTGTTGCAAATCAAGATAGGCTCGCCCTACAACACAAGACGGCATGCGAGTTACACAAAAACAAAATAATGATATTGTTAGTTGTGCACTCAAAGAGGGAGGGAATAACATGCAAACAGAAAGAACTGTACTGATGGCGAGGACCTCTGGTTGACTGTGTCCTCCTACGAACACACTTCGCAGTTCCTACTGGCTTGACAAACCCAGTTACCATGCAACATTTTTATTAACACAAATCTGTTTGCTTCCCAGGTTTAGTGTATGTTTTCCCTGTGATTTTAACGTATATGCACCATCACGGAAGGAGGTTTATCACAAATTTGCAAATTTTATAACAAATTTGGAATTCCCAAGGATTATCTTCAATTAATGGTGACATCTCCAGTATCAAATGACTTCTATCTTGCAACAAAAAATGTCCTTTGCCAAATCCGACTGCTAAATATGAACTGAAATATTATTATAAGTTGTAGCAGTATCAATCAAGGTTGTTTTATGCATCTCACATTAGGCTCTGTACCATGAGCCAGAAGCACAACAATCCGACACAAAAGACATTGAAATACATCTAAAACACTTGTTTCACCAGCAGAACTTATTCTTTCAACAGATTTATATTTATATTAACTTTACCTGATCAAATTAACAAAAGGTGTGGAAACAGAACTGTTTGGCTAAAACGAGTCCGAGGTGATAGTCTAACACAAGGGAGTCATGTAACCTTATTTACCAAGAGTGACACAGCTACAACAAATATATCTTACCCCCATGTTTCAATCTGCCCTTGCAAAAAGATTAAAACATACTGAAAATTGATAGCATGCCACTTTTTGATTGAGCTGATGTTAGCTCGGCTGTGTACTTGACTCCACAAAGTAACATGCAGCTATTTGCTTTACAGGAGTACAAGGGATCTATCCTCCTAGGAAAGAAGTCGTTTCTCCCAGGTGTGATGTATTGTATTTGATCAAGATCACAACAACCAATTAAAACACAATGTTCCAACATGGAGGTAAGATAAATCCTATTAATGTTTATTCATATTTGCAGACGGTTAGGTTATGGTGTGTACACAGTTGTTTATGAAACCTTCTGATTGTCTCTTGAGTGTGCATGGCTAGTGCAGATATATACCTTTTGGAATTAGCCGTTTCCATGGTTATTATGTGAAGGAGCAATGGAGGATGAAGAGATGAAAGGGACCAGGAACAAGTTACTACTGTTAATGTGATGGATACAAAGAAACTGATAGAGGACAGAGATGGTTTCCTACAAATTCCTACTGATAACCTCTGTAGTGACAACAGAAATACACTAGACTTAGAAATACATAAAAAGCACAAGCTTCACCAGCAGATCATTCTTTCAAGATTCACAATAATTTGTATTTTATTTCTCTAAATAAATCAAAAGGTGTGACAACAGACTTGTTTTGCCAAACCACCAACAGCGACAAAACCAAAGTACAGGAGTTCAACATCTACAAGTGTTACTATCAAGAGGTAATGTTCAAGTCTGTGCCCTTGGTATTGCAACTCCTGGACTGTGACCAGGATTCACACTTATTTTTCCATCATTAAAAATTCCTCAGAACAAATTGCCTTGACATGCACATTTCAAAACTGAGAATGTCATCAAGAAATTTATCAAATGTATGAATATTTGGCTTCTCAGCAATGTATTATAAAGAAAATGTCCAGTGAATATCTCTAGACTCCACTATTAAAACTAGACGTCATGCCCAGTGAATGTCTCCAGACTACACTATTAAAACTAGACGTCGTGTCCAGTGAATGTCGCTAGACTACACTATTAAAATTAGACGTCATGTCCAGTGAGTGTCTCCAGACTCCACTATTAAACTAGACGTTGTGTCCAGTGAATGTCTCCAGACTACACTATTAGAACTAGACGTCGTGTCCAGTGAATGTCGCTAGACTACACTATTAAACTAGACGTCATGTCCAGTGAGTGTCTCCAGACTCCACTATTAAAACTAGACGTCATGTCCAGTGAATGTCTCCAGACTACACTATTAAAACTAGACGTCATGTCCAGTGAGTGTCTCCAGACTCCACTATTAAAACTAGACGTCATGTCCAGTGAATGTCTCCAGACTACACTATTAAAACTAGACGTCATGTCCAGTGAGTGTCTCCAGACTACACTATTAAAACTAGACGTCATGTCCAGTGAATGTCTCCAGACTACACTATTAAAACTAGACGTCATGTCCAGTGAGTGTCTCCAGACTACACTATTAAAACTAGACGTCATGTCCAGTGAGTGTCTCCAGACTACACTATTAAAACTAGACGTCATGTCCAGTGAGTGTCTCCAGACTCCACTATTAAAACTAGACGTCATGTCCAGTGAGTGTCTCTAGACTCCACTATTAAAACTAGACGTCATGTCCAGTGAGTGTCTCCAGACTCCACTATTAAAACTAGACGTCATGTCCAGTGAGTGTCTCCAGACTACACTATTAAAACTAGACGTCATGTCCAGTGAGTGTCTCCAGACTCCACTATTAAAACTAGACGTCATGTCCAGTGAGTGTCTCCAGACTACACTATTAAAACTAGACGTCATGTCCAGTGAGTGTCTCCAGACTCCACTATTAAAACTAGACGTCATGTCCAGTGAGTGTCTCTAGACTCCACTATTAAAACTAGACGTCATGTCCAGTGTACAGGCTAAATTATTAAAACTAGATGACTAGATGTCAAGTAATTATCTCAAGGCTACACTACTGGAACTAAAAGTCAAGTCTACAAACTACAAACAATACATGCTGAATCTCTACTGGGAAATGGAAATGACTTAGTAGAAGAGGAGGTAGGGTGGACATATCACTGAGGACAAGTATATCGTTGGTGGGAAGTATCAACGAGGACAAGTATATTGGTGATGGGAAGTATCACTGAGGACAAGAATATCGCTGGTGGGAAGTATCACTTAGGACAAGTATATCGCTGGTGGGAAGTATATCGTGGTGGGAAGTATCACTGAGGACAAGCATATTGGTGATGGGAAGTATCACTGAGGACAAGTATATCGGTGATGAGAAGTATCACTGAGGACAAGTATATCGGTGATGGGAAGTTTCACTCAGGACAAGTCAGGGGTGGAAATAACCCATTGCCCGACGTCCGAGTCCAGTGTTTTTTTCTGTTGGGCAAGCAAATTTGTATATCATACTGTACCGGTGTCCAGTTGACTTTCCAATGTTACTAATGTTATTTATTTAAAAAATCAACAAGAAAACGGCCGGTACAGTGGAAAAATTATTAGGGCAAGTGATTTTACATGTGCCACTGAACCGGAGTACACTAGCAATTTTAATGTTATTTCCACCCCTGCATGTATATAGGTGATGGGAAGTATCACCGAGGACAAGTATATCGGTGATGGGAAGTATCACTGAGGACAAGTATATCGGTGATGGGAAGTATCACTGAGGTCAAGTATATCGGTGATGGGAAGTATCACTGAGGACAAGTATATCGCTGGTGGGAAGTATATCGTGGTGGGAGGTATAACTGAGGACAAGTTTATCGCTGGTGGGAAGTATCACTGAGGACAAGTATATCAGTGATGATAAGGACAAGTACTGAGGACGAGAGAATAACGCTGTTATCCAACAGATGTGGAGAGAGAGGACAGATGGATGATAAGCAAGGAGGTGATGATGAAATGTGCAAATGTTAGCATGGGGGACGTGTAAAACCAAGGGAGGCAACTCAGGTTACCAACACACTTGGAACAAAATACAAAGATGACAAATGAAAATCATGACAAGATATTCAACAACACATGAACTGAAAGGAAAGGGATATGCTAAATATCTTCATATCATAATCAATTACACAAATAAATAATTATTTACTTGAAAAGATGCACACAGATATATTGAATATTAACAAATATATTTCTTTATTCATTTAAAAATCCTCTTGTTAAATATAGGTTTTATTAGCACTAAAACAATGAACAACTGAAGCATTGTACCCTATCAGCAACAAATATACACATGGAAAAATGTTTTGCAACACCTATGATTTCTGAGCCCCATACAGCATTTACATTCTTATCACAATCATGTTTGTATTACTTTGATCCCTCTGACTCGCCTTACATTGACTTTAGATATGCACAAGCTACAATCAACAAAAAGAATGATGTGCATGTGAACATGTCATTAAGCAAATGTCAAGTTTCAGTAAACACCTCCATAACTTGGAAAACCAATATTGATTTCAACGTTGATAAGCAAATATGGGGCTTCCTAAACTGGAAACTGCCCAAAGAGTGAGTGAGTTTGGTTTTACGCCGCTTTTAGCAACATTCCAGCAATATCACCAGAAATGGGCTTTACACATTGTACCCATGTGGGGAATTGAACCCGCATCTTATGCGTGACGAGCAAACGCTTTAACCACTAGGCTACCCCACTGCTTAAGAAGGCAAGATAATGGAATGAAGAATGCAGGCATGTCATTGCAGGCATGACATCTGTTTCTACCCCAATAGTTCAAAACAGCTCAACTAGCTTGGTGTCAAGCTCGACATCACTGGAATATGAGGTCATGGAGAAAGGTCCATGGATCAGATTCAAGTCAATTTCTTTTCCTCATGACTGATGTCCAACCATGTGTTCAGATACACCGTGTATGCGCAGCAGAATATCTTCCAGCAAGTAACGTTTGGCTGGCTGGGGTATATTGATGGTGGAGGGGTGCTTCTCAAATGACTGTAAACGTGACATTGTGAAATCAAGACAAAATCTGAGTTGACAACAGAGCATTACTGACATCCTAAGACAGGGTTGTTGTACCACATTTCGAAGACTATGCTCTGAACACATAGACAGTGTTCATGGACAACAATGCTAGGCCACATTATGCGCGTGCCATTGGTGATTTCTTAGAGGCAGCAATAGCTCTACCTTGGCCTGCCAGAAGTCCAGATCTCAATCCCATTGGAGCATGTTTGGGTCATTATGGGTCATAGAATATGCCAGAGAGATCCTCCAGTAAATAATTTTGATGTATTAGAACATGCCCTCCGACAAGAACGAAACACAATACCTCAACATCAAATGTAACATCTGATAAAGTCAAAGTGACTTGATAAAATTTCCCATGAAAACATTTCACAGGAAACTGTTGAACAGATAACTGAAGTAACCAACAAATCCATGGCGCCGACTGTTTGAAGATATGGTCTAGGTAGATGACGTGTCAACCAAGTCAGTGAGCCTGACCACCCGATCGCTTCTTATTAGCTGCCTCTTACAACAAGTATAGAAGATCAGTTCTATCCCAGATCTTCATGAGTGCATACAACAAGAAGCAGAACTTTCACTTTATGATACAATGACACCGAAAGATGGAAAACCAGTGTGACAGACTTGATACATGGATGAAAGTTATCAGCACGGACACATTGTATGATCTGATAGGGTACAATACAGTTACATTGTTCATACTGCAACACTACAGATATTTACTGATCCAGTTACATGTAATCTCAGGAAACATGATGTACCTGCATCTGAAACACTAGACATGGTTAAGGCAGGGTATGGATGTAGGAGGAATGTGGAACACTCACGTGTCTTGCTTTCACTTGCTGAAGTGCGTTCATACATTTCTGAAGGAAAACATGGGAAATACAAGTCAAAACATGTCTGATAAACATGACTGGGAGGTTACAAAACTGTTGCCATGCCAAAAATGAAAGAAATTCAATCTACAAAATGTTCACTCTTTATAGTTCTTTATAATACATTGCCTGTTTTCAAAGTAAAGAAATCCCTATAAATATCTGGACATAAAAGAAAATGATCATTGGTGTGACAATATATAAGAAGTTTCACATTCTTAAATGAACTCCCAACTGCACAAAGCATTAATAGGCCATCTGGGAGAGAATTAGGACATGAAACTTCTTTCTTGTGGTAGTTGTCCTACGCCACACTCGGCTACGTCAGCTTCCTGACAGTGGCCTGTAAATAATCAAGCATGCAACTTTAACATCCGACATAATTTTGTCACCTAAATGACGAGCATATGTTGCTAATTCTAGCCCAGAATCTCCATGAGGAGAGCATATTTTGCTTGAGGCAAATTCTAACTTCACTACCCCTAACCCGACCTCCATGGGTCTTTATTGTTTGTAGTGATGTTACACATAGTTACTTACTGAGAAGACCTTGTCCCGGGTGACGACCATGATGACTGGCATAGCGCGGTCTACCAGCGCCAAGGGGCCATGCTTTAATTCACCAGCCAGAATACCCTCAGAGTGCATGTATGTCAACTCCTTGATTTTCTGAAAAGATAACACGACCAATCTAGCATACAGCTAAGTTTCCTGTACTGTAGTGACCCCCAATCCTCCAACTGTAATCTCATTCTAGCTAGCTGCTGAATCTTTCCTCTATAGGCTATCCAAAAGGTCAAGCAGACAAAATTTTGGACATAAGGAGTATGGTAGACTAACATCTAATGTATGAACATATGATACAGAAAACAGAAAAAACAGTTAATAATAATAATAATAATTGCATGGGCTTTCTTGGATATATTTGTTTCAGAGTCTGTATGACGGACTAGGAATAAGGATTAAAGGCAGACTTCATGTTATGATGAATGTGTGCTAAATTTCACACCAGAGTTACCTCCCTTGCCTAAAGATTACATTTATAATTCTGAAATAAGAAATTGATACTGAAGCAAGCATATTTATTTTGGTTGTTTATGTCAGCAATATTTCAGTTGTATGACTGGAGTCATATCATGATCTGACAAGACAAACCAGTGACTGATTATGTTATTAGCAGCGAACCAACCAATCACGGTACAATGACTCACAACTAACAGAGTCACTATGCTTGACCACAAAAGCCACTAAGTTGCCTCCAATATCCAGCATTGATTACGGGAAACCCAAGTCTCAGCATGAGTGAGTGAGTGACTGAGTATAGTTTAACTCCACTTGCAATATTCCAGCAATATCACAGAAATGGGCTTCACACATTGTACCCACGTGGGTAACCGAACCCGGGGTCTTCTGCGTGACAAGCGAACACTTTAACCACTAGGCACCCCACCGCCCTTCTCAGCATGAGTTCCTTGGGAGGAAGCAAGTATACAAACAGTTTGCAAAACCTACGTTATTTAGCACAAGTAGTGATACTTAAGTTGAAAACTGTTAATAAAATTTGAAACAAAAATATAAATGCAATACATCCAGCCATAATCTCACGCTACAGATCAACACAAAGTATTGTTATATGAACCTGTATAGCTATAAACCTTATAATGAAATGTATGAACCTCAAGTGACAGAAGTAACAGACAAAGCAGGAGTGATTATTTTTAGTTTCATATTTTTAGTTTCGTATCGTATTTTTAGTTTCGTATCGTATTGTATTTTTAGTTTCGTATCATATTTTTAGTTTCATATCACTTGGCTGTGCTTATAACTACTGTTCATGTGGCGTGACAAGCGGACGCTTTAACCACTAGGCACCCCACTGCCCTTCTCAGCATGAGTTCCTTGGGAGGAAGCAAGTATACAAACATACAACTACTATTACTACACACCAGGGCACCCTCCAGACACGTTGCATAGTTGTAGCCTCGGCCCATGACCAGGAGGGACTTCTGCTGATACAGCTCCTGTGCCAGGTTGTGGATCTGCTCGTCCATCTTCAGAACTTCCTTGATCTGGTCTGATGAACACAACAACAACCATGAAGACAGATCGTAGGGAGAAAGACACACGGATGACAACACCTCACTGACAACACAATCTCTACGTCCTGTTTAAACTAATTGTTGTTTAACATCACACATGGCAACATTCCAGTCTGTAATAACAGTCTGTAAATAATCAAGTCTACTCAAGATGTTCCAGTGATTGAAATCATGAGCATTAATCCGTGCAGTTGAGGTACGATGACATACTTCAACCAAGGGAGCATGTCTGACCTTTAGATCACATTTGTTGCCATAAACGTCAAGCATGGACAGATGAAAACCAATTGTAACCCAGATGTACACAAAGATCATGTTACCGGGAAAAAAACATTATTAGATGACAAATGTAACCTCAAACATGAAGAAAAGAGGAGAGAGTTAGTGATCCCATACAGGGCAAACAACCACAATCGAGTAACTACATCAACACGCACAGCTCTTAAATCAATCATTACTGGGTAATCAATAGTTTCTATTTTAATTCTCATCCTGAAATAATTACTTCCTAAGATACTACTGAAATAACTGAGGTTTAACGCTCCCACAAAAATGACTTTTAGGTTTCTCAGAGCACATGTTGCAGTTGGATAATACAAACGTTCTGCAATAGAGTCTCTTGTTCGAGCATATATCATCCAACACTAAACGCTTTAGTTTTACCTGATGATTGGGCCAGAACAAGCCCTGAAACATTGTACTCAAAAATAAAAATAGATGTAACCCAGAAAAATCTCTATGTTCATCAAATAGCATCTTCTAAAATGCCAATCAAGCATCTAATATCGCACGTCATAGAGTTTCCTAATTCTTTCATTTTTTAAATTTTGAGACCCCTCTCTAATTCTAAGAGGTTCTAACAAAGAGGAATTTAACAGCCAAACAGAAATGGATACATGTTAAATAATTAACAAGGACAAGTTCAGTTTTTAATATGTGATAAGTAGAAGTAGGTTTGGGTTGCTGTATCATGTAATCTTCATACATATAGGTACATTGGTAGAGACAGCTTGTTTAGTTGTTGGACCAGTGAAAGAGAATACCAGTTTCATTAAAAAAATCAATTTCATTAAAAATATATACAGACCTCATTACATATCATTTGATATAGAAGTCTTGACAGCCTTTGTACTTTTCCAGAAAGGAGTTAAGCCCAAAAGCATTCCATGCAACATTTGATAGAGTTAATTAGGGGTAGTCTTCCAAGTTCTCCTTATTGCATGTATAATAGCATACTCCTCTTACCAGGAAGGAATTTGAACAGATTCAATTACTTTACAGTTTTCAAAACCCCAGACTTCACAGTATAAAATGGGACTGGCTTAACAATCACATCAAAGAGGTATAATTACTATGTTAAACATATGTAATTTTATGATGTAGGACATACATTACCTTAGTGGCTGATTCACAAAGAGCTTTTATAGAGTTTTAAAGGAATTATAGTTTGTATAATGAGTTCCAGGAGAAGAAACGCAAGATTTATTGATGTCAACTTCTTTATTGTGAACAACACGACATTTCGGAGTGTATACTTGCTCCTTCGAAACATAATGTTATTCACAATAAAGAAGTTGACATCCATAGATCGTAATTTTCTTATGCATTCAACTTCTAAATGCCCTTCCAAATTTGAGTAGCAGGATATTTAAAATCATTGACATATTCTGTGGGAGTGAGTGAGTGAGTGAGTTTAGTTTTACGCCCGCACTCAGCATTATTCCAGCAATATATGGCGGCGGTCTGTAAATAATCGAATCTGGATCCGACAATCCAGTGATCAACAGCAAGAGCATCGATCTGTGCAATTGGGAACCGATGACATGTGTCAACCAAGTCAGCGAGCCTGACCACCCGATCTCGTTACTCGCCTCTTACGTATTCCTTGGGAAAGATAAACAGTATCTGTTTACTCTTATCTTGCTTTGTACCCCTTACGCTTTGCTGAACAAGGTTCACCGTATCCACCCCATGAGGGCCCCTTACCTGGAAGCTTCTTGAGTCCTTGGATGATCTCCTTCCTTCTCTGCTGCATGGAGATGCGATCCTCACACATCATCAGCCCAAACATCACCAGTGAGATGAACTGACTTGTGTACGCCTGGTCACGAGGAAGAGGTCATCTATATATTTTACATATCATACTAAACACACGTTTTGATAAGTGTATGTGTGTCTTAGTTTACTAACACCAAATGCAGCTATATTCCAGCTGTGTGGAAGTGGCCTGGAAATAAGTTAGTGTGGATTTAGTCACTGATATTATGAGTGAGTTTTAAGCCGCTTTTGGCAATATTCGAGCGATATCACAGTGGGGGGACACCAGAAATGGGCTTCACCAGTTGTACCCATGTGGGGAATCGAACCCGGGTCTTTGGCGTGACTACCCCATCGCCCCAACTGATATTATGAGTGAGTTTTACACCACTTTTAGCAATATTCTAGCAGTATCACAGCGGGGGATACAAGAAATGGGCTTCACCAATTGTACCCATGTGGGGAATCGAACCCGGGTCTTTGGCATGACTACCCCATCGCCCCAACTGATATTACGAGTGAGTTTTACACCACTTTTAGCAATATTCCAGCAATATCACGGTGGGGGGACACCAGAAATGGGCTTTACCAATTGTACCCATGTGGGGAATCGAACCCGGGTCTTCGGTGTGACTGCCCCATCGCCCCAACTGATATTATGAGTGAGTTTTACACCACTTTTACCAATATTCCAGCAATATCACGGTGGGGGGACACCAGAAATGGGCTTTACCAATTGTACCCATGTGGGGAATCAAACCCGGGTCTTCGGTGTGACTGCCCCATCGCCCCAACTGATATTATGAGTGAGTTTTACACCACTTTTAGCAATATTCCAGCAATATCACGGTGGGGGGACACCAGAAATGGGCTTTACCAATTGTACCCATGTGGGGAATCGAAGCTGGGTCTTCGGTGTGACTGCCCCATCGCCCCAACTGATATTATGAGAGAGTTTTACACAACTTTTACCAATATTCCAGCAATATCACGGTGTGGGGACACCAGAAATGGGCTTCACCAATTGTACCCATGTGGGGAATCGAACCCGGGTCTTCGGTGTGACTACCCCATCGCCCCAACTGATATTATGAGCAATCATTCATACCATTAGGGTCAGATCAGCCAAGTCAATTATCCTGACATCCAATCCATTTGGTGGCCACTTACAACCAACTCACATTACAAATGGGCTTTACCAGGTGGGAATCAAACCTGGGTGTTGGGAAACTGAACACTTTCCCCACAGGGAACCTCACCAACCCAGTCTTATCAACACCATAGTCCAATCCCCATCCTTACCTTTGTGCTGGCCACACCAATCTCAGGCCCTGCGTTGATGTGAACTCCGCAGTGTGACTCGCGGCAGATGCTGCTGCCCACAACGTTGGTGATGCCGACAATCAGAGCCCCTCGCTGCTTGCAGTACCGTAAAGCTAGAAGGGTGTCCGCTGTCTCCCCGGACTGGCTGATGAAGAAGCAGACGTCATCCCTGAAGACCGGTGTGCTTCTGTCCAAGAAGTCGCTGGCTAGTTCCACCATCACTGGCAACTCAGTAAGCTCTTCTAGCAGCTGCCGCGTCTGATACCACATAGAAACACATATTACATGCCAGTTGTGTCATTAACACTCGACCCTCGGACCTAAGTGGACCCTCGCTGATATGGATGCCCACTGTCCCAGGGTCCATTTCACAAACCAATCTAAGATCTAACCTGCTATTCATGGCCACAGACAAGAATGGACGGTGATGGTCAGAGCTAGGATCACTATGTGGAATCTGAAGTGATGTCTACAGAATTATCCAGCTCTTCATAACATCACTCTTACATACATGGCTACACAGACAAAGGAAGTTGAAACGGGTGATACATCCAAAGTGTTCATATCTACATTTCACAAGCATTGAAGACCTAATAAAGTCATATTACCTGAGCAGTTCATTTGTGGGCTGTGACCTCTGCTAAATCTTGGGAAGCAAAACACACTAAGCAGAAACCAACAACTTCCACAGCATAAAGTACTGACAGTATAAAGTACTCACAGTATATATCCTCTTTATATTCCTTATGACTGCGATATCACTGTCTTGTTTCCATAGAAACTAAACCAAAAGAAGTTGACTCACCGCAACAGCACTGTGGAAGCTGGTTCCACAGGCAATGAAAAGCAGACGGCGACATCTCCGGATCTCACTCATGTAATCCTTGATGCCACCTAGGACAACGAGTTCTGCATCAAAACTGACTCTGCCTCTCATCGTGTTGACCACAGACTCAGGCTGTTCAAAGATCTCCTTTTGCATGAAGGAGCTGAAACTACCTGCAAGGTGGAAAGGGAGAATCGTGTTCAACAATGATCAAATCTCGGTTGCAATGACTTTCCAGTACCGCCAGACAACCTTACAAGTGGGCTAAGCTGGTGTTTAAGTGTTTGCTCATCAGGCCAAAGGTCTGAGATTGATTCCCAATGGGTCCAATATGTAAAGCCTAAATGATGTCACCTGCCCATACATGGATTTGATATTACCCCTAACAGCAGAAAACAACATTCTCTCACTCCACAAGATGGGGTTTCTCAAAAAGCTTGGATGCATCTGAGACAGTCTATGTCAAAAACATTCACATCATCTGCTTTCAGCACTTCTCATAATACATGAGCATAATGATATAGACAATTATTAGCTGAGGTTACTACACTGACAGGTTGTTCTGGTTGTTCTGGCCAGGGACCAGTGGTCTCTGACCGATAAGGCAGCCTTCTCCTTACCCTTCATGATCTCTTGGATCTCCATCTTGAGGGTGATCACCTCACGGACTGTGGAATCATCGATGCTGCGGGATATGCGATGGATGGAGAGGCTCCCATTCTGGACGGCTGCAACATCGTCATCTTCCATGAAGATCACCTGGTTGGTGTGCTCGATGATGGCACTAAAAGCACAGGAGAACAAATGTCATACTGGAGATTTTGAAGACGTAAACATGCTGTCTGTCTGTAGTCCAGTCAATTGTAGAGTACTACATTATCATGACAATCAGTCTTCACTCATGTTCAATTGAACTTGATGAAGAAAGTGAGGAACATGGTGATATTTGCATTCATAAATCAATGAACAGATCTTGTTCGCATCTTAGTGCCAAGATCTCTTTTTGGAATGAGGACTTACAACACTGTCAAAGTTTACACACAACATACACTTATCAGTCTCAGTGCTCAAGACTAATACCAAACATACATCGCTGAAAGTCAATACGAGAAGGTACTGGTCAGGATTTGTCTCCAGCAACACATGTTTATCCTGAAAATAACTAAAAGGATCAGATGGTCCACTTCACTGACATTTTATCTCATTTAATTGATCTGTATTCAATCACTGTCTGGTCTTGACTTGGTAAAATACAGATCACCATCATATAGCTGGAATAATGCTGGGTCCAGTATGAATCACCAAATCAAAACGCCTGCATCAGTCCCAGGAACTATATCCAAGAACTTCCAGACCCCATTATTACCTGGCATCAGAGGCAAAGAAGTATTCCACCTCTTTGTTTGGTCTACGGGGTGAAACTCGGTTTGATCCTCATTACGATGTGTTGTCCCCACAAACCCTCGATGATCACCTTAAAGAGATAGCCAGAAGATTAGAATCATTTCAAGAAATAAGAACTTTGTTTGATTTTCTATTTCGAGAAATCTTGTCAAAAAAAAAAATCAAAATATTTTTTTTATAAAATAGTCTCTCTTGTGTTACATGTGTTATTGAGGTGTTCTGTCATTTGGACATGAGAATGCCAAGAATTGCTCGTATCCCATGATGCATTGTAAGATTGGGGTGGGGAGGGGCGGTCGGGCAGGTGTTTCCTATCTTCATCATGCAATACCAGCAATCCTTATATCCATGTACAAACTGACAGAATCAACAAAATAACTTTTGATTCCCCTCCAAAGCACAACAACCATCCACGCATCAACCAGATGCAGTACTGCTTGTTACTCCAGACAAACATCGTGGAAAATGAAAGTAATGTTAGTATGATGTGTTAGGAAAGCAGTCATCTTGTCAATGCCTCATGCTATATTCTTGTAGATGGAAGCTAAGCAAATTTCACACACAGTAGACAAGCGAAACCTACAATCATTATTACACATGTGCATAACTCAGATTACATTTACAAAAGATCTATCAATTAAATTTTTCTTTTAAGAAAAAAATCAGTTTAAAACAAATCAATTAAATTAATATTAAGGTTAATTTTGGAGTATATCAGCTTGGAAAAAAACCTTAACAGTTATAGCACTTGGCACCAAACCAATCATACTTTCATTGGGGTGTTCTTCATATCCACAAGCCCTCGCTGACCCACCTGTTCAGATTAAAACAGCGCCATCTGTTAAAACCCTCATTAACATAATCCGCACCTCTTATTATCATCACATTTTGAGCTGATTTTCCATTAAATTAGCTAATCAATTAAAATCCTGAGTTTTGAATTTTATAAGTGAAGTGATAAAGCCATGCTCTGAGCTGTATAAGACAGGTTACAGCAGAAAAGATGCTAGAATTGTGTACCTTCCGTAGACGTCAAATCTTTACAACCTGCATGCGTAAGACGGAGGAAGATATGGTTAGTTAACAAATGAGGTGCAAGCTGTTTGGAGACTACTAATCTAACCTGGAAAAAACATGGATCTTAATGTGCAGCAATCAAACAAAAAGAATAAAACCAAATTAAAATCCTGGAAAACAACATGAAACTACATCATACAGCCACATAGCAGATCTAGTGTTGTGAAGCCGTGAGCAGATAATGCCCTAGGTCAGAGATAATACAATGGCCTACAACAAGAAAAGCAAGATTTATGGATGTCAACTTCTTTATTGAGAATAACACGACATTTCAGAGTGTATGCTTGCTCCTTCATCAGGTCATGTTATTCCCAATAAAGAAGTTGACATCCATATATCTTGCTTTTATTATGCATTCCACTTCTAAATGCCCGTCAAAGATGGTATACACTGGTCATTTTATACAATCAGTATCAAGTTTCCCTTACTTCATTACAAAAATGACGAACAAAATCTTCCTATAATCATAATTTGATGAAGAAGTATATTTGTGGTTCAAATGACCTGGAGTCCATTTCAGAGAGCAATGTTTGCAGGACTCCACACCATAACTGACAAAAGACATGTAGTGCAACGTTATACTCGTGTTGCGTTATATTAGGTTATCAAAATATAATACATCTTGTTATAACTGAATCATTAACATAAAAAACTACACAGAAATTCATATGATGTTTCCCTTTGAAACTGATTTAGAAATCATCCTAAATGCGGAAATCCTATTCTCCTACATTGTTATCTCCCCTGTTTCCATGACTATAAGAATGACTGTAATGCTCTGTGGTGAGATGTAAGCACTACAAAGAGACATGAAAAGATAGCTGCTGTATCAGCTCCTTTCTAGTCCTCACAAAGAGTCCTGAGCTAACCACATACAGGACACCAAAGTTTCTCTCCCAGGCCTTAGAAAATACTAGTATACTGAAAAGCCGAACTGTCATCTTCACTCGTCACACTGAAGGCCCAGATTTGAATACCCACATGGGTACAATGTTTGAAGCTCATTTCAGTGGCCCCCTGTCATGATATTGCTGGAATATTGCTAAAAAACAGTGTAAAACCCAAAACTCACTCACTCACTCTAAAGACAGCAGAGTCCTTCTCTGTTTGTGAACACTACACTACCCTACCCTACTTTTCAAATGAACAAACTATTCTGATGATTATGATGATGATGATGATGATGATGATGATGATGATGATGATAAGGATGCATTTTCCCGCCAATTCTGAGCAAAGTAGGTTTCCAAAAGAGGTCACACCAAATATTTAGGCAACATATATCGGACTGTTTATTCCAGCAGCCTTTGTAGATTACATGCAACCTAAACAACAAAACATTACATGGAATCTAAACAAATATATTAGTGTGAAATGGGTACATACAATTTCATGCAATGATTCAGAAAACACACCATGTCAAGACTTAAAAACAACCATAGATAAATCTACTATAAGATATGACAAATTTAATGCTCTTCTTCAAATTAAGCATTTTACCTTTTACATCAAAGCTGGCTGAGTGATAACAAAATCAAAGAAGATTTGTACATTTTCATTTTATCACCCACATTAAATCTGAAAACACTGAGCTTCAGACGAGGTGGTCTCAACCAAAAGGGGAATTTGGGATAGCTTTGTTATTCTTGATTTCAAACTTATAATTCCATCAGTCTCTTTGATAATCCGTTACCAACAATGAAAACACTGCACCTGCTAAAGTACGCTCAGAAGTAACCTACACTGGACTCCCATTGTGGTTAAAAAATCAAGGAAATATTTATAAGAATTGAATGAATTTCTGATCAGTTATCCCTCCTATGTCCAACTTCTGTACAAAGCAGGTGCTAAGCCCATATATCAGCAACAGACAACTGCAATGCGTCACTGGTACTATGTCTTTGAAAACTACCCTCCTTCATGTTGACCAATGATTTCTTTTAATTAAAAGTCAAGCAAGGTATAGGCATGGTTTGGTGAAATAATTTGTCCATTTTAATCTATGTTGTTTTTTTCGTAATAACAATGCTGAAAAGACCAGGCCCCGATTTCTCGAAACAAACTTAAGTTTTTACTCAAATTTCAAACTGAGTTTGACAATTTGAAACAGCTGAATCTTTAACTCAACTGCATTTTTAAAATTAAAAAAGCCCAAACAACTTAAGTAATCTATCCACCAAACTCAAATTGTCTACTAAGTTTGAGTTTAATATTGATTTCAGTTTATTCTGGGAAATGCATTTTCCTGCGTTTTCTCAAATTTGAGTAAAAACTCAGACTTAAGTTTGTTTCAAGAAATCGGGGCCAGATGTTTGCAGTGAGGTCTAGTGAGTATCATTGCTCAAGCCAGTGGTGGAAGTCCTACACAATGTAACGCAAGTCCAAACTTCATGTTAGACTACCAGTGAAAAAGACATAGATTTACCTCTTGGACAAAACACATCCGTGTGAAGACCTTGCTGTCCCTGGTTGAGTCTAATCAGTGAAGAGAATACATTTATATACCAACACCACCACAACAGATCATGTTGTCATGGTGACAACAGCCTGGACCAGCCAAACCAGTGGTTGATAACATGACCATCAATCCATGCTGTGGATCATCCTGGTTTCACAATGCAGCATCCAAACATATTCAAGTGGCAGGTATATCAGAAGTAAAAACTTAAATTCTCACCTTTGCTGTACAGGATTGGGATGTGATCAGTTGTCAATTTGGCCCGACTCTTTACGCCGATTAAGAGTGGACTTCCTCGTCTAAAATTCAAAATCACTCACTGTGACAACATGATAATGCAATGAACTACACAAAAGATATATAACAGTTGGTCTCCAAGAATGTGTTAAACAATTTTTTACCGACACAGCATGCCAGTCTGGAATAGTCTGGGACAGTCAGGCAGTCTACCGACATCTTCACTTTGAGCATAAATTATGGTAATTTGATTCTCACTAATGTGACCTCCTCACCTCAGTGAATTCATCATGTGACAGAGACTTCAATTACCACATGTTTTATGCCTTTTACGTTTTTTAAGGTGTTATATCATCAGCTGCAAAGGTGTCTTGTTTCTCAAGTTAAAGGGACACTTCCAGGTTTGGTGAGTGTGAGTGAGTGAGTTTAGTTTTATAAAGCCCTCAGCAATATTCCAGCTACATGTCTGTAAATAATTGAGTCTGGACCAGACAATCCATTGACCAACAGCATGAGCATCGATCTACACAACTTGGATATGATAAACCTGAGTCGCCTCTTACAACAAGCATGGGTTACCGAAATCAATTCTAACCCGGATCTTCACGGGTCTTTCTAGGTTTGGTCTCTGCACTGTTTGTTTTTGATGTTTGTAAAATTTCAAATTGAGTAATGGGGGAAATATCATTAACACCAAGACCAACATGTTTTTAAACACAATAATAATGATAGAGATGCCCGGACTGCCTTGAAAGAACCTTGCATATCAATATCAGCACTTCAAGAGACAGCCTGTTGCTCCTACAATGGGCTAGTGTAATCTTGAAATTAGGTATTACCGCTTCTACACAACAGAGCCTGTTGCCCCTTAAATGGTGCATATGCAATGACTGTCAAACATCCAAACGAAGGAAAACATTTTAAGGGTATAATAATGCACAGAAACAAGCAACAACTTTTCCATTTGGTGAATCAGGGCTTCCATCCTGTAAGACTGACTGAGTTTGGTTTTACGCCGCTTTTAGCAATATTCCAGCAATATCACGGCGGGGGACACCAGAAATGGGCTTCACTCATTGTACCCATGTGGGGAGAATCGAACCCGGGTCTTCGGCGTGACGAGACAACGCTTTAACCACTAGACTACCCCACCGCCCCCCATCCTGTAAGAGTTCTTGGAGTATTGGTTTGATAAGTCTAGACTTCCTAAAGTATCACTGTTACAGTTTATCAATGACTGTTATTTACATAGGTTAAAGTTTCCATGAAAGAGGAGTTTACAGTGTTACAAGATTGCTTCTTGGGTGAGTGAGTGAGTGAGTGAGTGGGGTTTTATGCCGTTTCTAGCAATATTCCAGCAATATCACGTGGGGACACCAGAAATGGGCTTCACTCATTGTACCCATGTGGGGAGAATCGAACCCGGTCTTCGGGTGACGAACCAGCGCTTTAACCACTAGACTACCCCATCGCCCCCATCCTGTAAGAGTTCTTGGAGTATTGGTTTGATAAGTCTAGACTTCCTAAAGTATCACTGTTACAGTTTATCAATGACTGTTATTTACATAGGTTAAAGTTTCCATGAAAGAGGAGTTTACAGTGTTACAAGATTGCTTCTTGGAGTGAGTGAGTGAGTGAGTGAGTGGGGTTTTATGCCGTTTTTAGCAATATTCCAGCAATATCACGGCGGGGGACACCAGAAATGGGCTTCACTCATTGTACCCATGTGGGGAGAATCGAACCCGGGTCTTCGGCGTGACGAGCCAACGCTTTAACCACTAGACTACCCCACCGCCCCCCATCCTGTAAGAGTTCTTGGAGTATTGGTTTGATAAGTCTAGACTTCCTAAAGTATCACTGTTACAGTTTATCAATGACTGTTATTTACATAGGTTAAAGTTTCCATGAAAGAGGAGTTTACAGTGTTACAAGATTGCTTCTTGGAGTGAGTGAGTGAGTGAGTGAGTGGGGTTTTATGCCGTTTCTAGCAATATTCCAGCAATATCACGGCGGGGGACACCAGAAATGGGCTTCACTCATTGTACCCATGTGGGGAGAATCGAACCCGGGTCTTCGGCGTGACGAGCCAACGCTTTAACCACTAGACTACCCCACCGGCCCCCATCCTGTAAGAGTTCTTGGAGTATTGGTTTGATAAGTCTAGACTTCCTAAAGTATCACTGTTACAGTTTATCAATGACTGTTATTTACATAGGTTAAAGTTTCCATGAAAGAGGAGTTTACAGTGTTACAAGATTGCTTCTTGGAGTGAGTGAGTGAGTGAGTGGGGTTTTATGCCGTTTTTAGCAATATTCCAGCAATATCACGGCGGGGGACACCAGAAATGGTTGCTTCTTGGAGTGAGTGAGTGAGTGAGTGAGTGAGTGGGGTTTTATGCCGTTTTTAGCAATATTCCAGCAATATCATGGCAGGGGACACCAGAAATGGTTGCTTCTTGGAGTGAGTGAGTGAGTGAGTGAGTGAGTGAGTGGGGTTTTATGCCGTTTTTAGCAATATTCCAGCAATATCATGGCAGGGGACACCAGAAATGGTTGCTTCTTGGAGTGAGTGAGTGAGTGAGTGAGTGGGGTTTTATGCCGTTTTTAGCAATATTCCAGCAATATCATGGCAGGGGACACCAGAAATGGTTGCTTCTTGGAGTGAGTGAGTGAGTGAGTGAGTGGGGTTTTATGCCGTTTTTAGCAATATTCCAGCAATATCATGGCAGGGGACACCAGAAATGGTTGCTTCTTGGAGTGAGTGAGTGAGTGAGTGAGTGAGTGGGGTTTTATGCCGTTTTTAGCAATATTCCAGCAATATCATGGCAGGGGACACCAGAAATGGTTGCTTCTTGGAGTGAGTGAGTGAGTGAGTGGGGTTTTATGCCGTTTTTAGCAATATTCCAGCAATATCATGGCAGGGGACACCAGAAATGGTTGCTTCTTGGAACAGGCCCTTGTTATTGATTTTAGCAAATGTTGTTGTGATTTTAGCAAATGTTGTTGTGATTTTAGCAAATGCCTATCACAGGAGGGTTAGCACTGGCAATTACTTTGTGGAATCAGGGTGAGCACCTAACCTAAAGGATGTCCCATGCACATGCTTGTCAAGTATTTCATAAGCGTGAGTGAGTGTGTGAGTATAGTTTTATGCCGCTTTTACCAAAATTCCAGCAATATCACAGCAGGGTACACCAGAAATGGGCTTCACACATTGTAACCATGTGGGGAATCAAACCCTGGTCTTCGGCGTGACGAACCAATGCTTTAATCACAAGGGTACCCCACTGCCCCGATTTCATAAGCATCTCAAGAGATCATCGAAGGTTTTGTATCGCAAAAAATCAGACTTACTGTGCCAATATTTATAAAAATATTTCTTAGTATGTTTTTGAGCTTCTTTTAATTTTTTTGTCACCAGGTACCCATTCCAGAAAGTGATCATACTTTTGTCTGTCCTCCGTCTGTGTTTAAGTATAGGAGTTAATCCTTCTACTATTATTGCTTTGTGGAGTAGGGTCCGGTCATACTGATACAAGCACACCCAGATGACTCATCCCCAAAGATCCTTACCCAGAACCACCATCTGTACCACAATACTGAGTCCTTCCTTAGCTTTGAACCAACAATACTGTTCCTTGACTACAGATACGTAACATATCAACACCAAAACACATTACATCCATGAATATAAGTTTCACCATTCCCACTTCTTGAAGAACGATAAACCCCAGTATTTACAATACTTGCTCAAACCCATTTACTACGATTGATCATGCCTCAGTTAGTCTGGTGTTAAACTCTGTGATATGGCCTCAATGGTCCCAACTAAGCCTTTCGGGATTTTCTTTGGAAGGCAAGCACTGGCGGTTATTTAGCCTGAGTGTGCATGGGTATGTAATTTATGAATGTGCACGAATGCATAATGAGAAAGGACATAAATTCAATGGTAGCTTCTCCTCAAGAATCCATCCAGATCTGCCCAGAGGCAGCCATTGAGCCCAAACAGTGCATCAACGTCTTCAGTGACAAGAGTCGGTAAGTATACTACTCAAAAGATTTAAGGAACACCTGTTTGTTCACATGACTATTTTTCTTTTTCTGACCCATAGATTGACTCAAGTCCTATGAAAATACAAAGTGTTCCCTAACTACATGCAAGAAGTATATATTATTGTAGACAATGGAGTTTTTATGTTATTTCTCCAGGTAACAAGAACCTACCTTGTTGTAACGATCTCTCCAGGGAAATGTGTACTTGTCATGGCCAGGGCAAATGCTCCCTCCTGAAAAACATGGAAACATTGTTATTAGCAGATTTGATACATTCACTGTTCCTGTATATTTCTATAGAAAAGGAGATGGGGGATTGACATTTCTGATAAATTGCTTTTTTAAAATGAGTCATCCAAGAAGGACATATAACCCCAGTCTGCTGCAGAAGGGAAGAAAAATGACACTTTGGTCATCATAGGGGATACTTTCAGTTCCCTAAAGTTGGTTTGGTTGGTTGATTGGTTGGTTTGTTGGTTGGTTGGTTGAACACAACAGGGATATGACGACATGTGTCAACCAAGTCAGAGAGCCTGACCAATCTATCCTGTTAGTCACCTCTTGTTTTTCATACTAAGAGGAAAACAAGTAGTGCACTCAATAAAACTACTTGTTGTATATGTATGTGATGAATAACAGTGTAATGTCCTCATTTAAAACTGAGTCGTATATTTACTCTGATGCTTGTGACAAATTGAACTTCCTTTTGTTGTCTCCATCTTACGTGCAGGTTTCCAGCTTGATCGGTCTAAGTGTGTGAGTTTAATGAGCAGAAGCTAAAGATACAGCGATGTTTACTGCTGTCTCCAAATCCACAAGACTGGTGCCGCCAAATGCCAGTTTTAGAGGGCCAGCTTTCCACGGATTCCCCACTCATAGAGGCTAAATTGACTGAAAGGAGGCCATTTTTGTTTTAAGATCCCTTAATTCCAGGCACCACCTTTCACCATCTTTAAACATACTTTTGGCTAGGGCACACTCTCCATGAAACCGGTACCATTAAGTTGTTTTATAAATTCAGATAAGTTGCTGGTTTTGTACATTTATTCTTTCACACACAAAAACATTTTCTCTGTTATCATTCACTGAATTCCATTCCTTCCCCTGCTGAGCTGAACAGAAGTATTCTTAAAAATAATTTCTACTCCATTTGACAGATCGGATAAAAATTCCTCTGCTAAGTCACCATTTTTTCAACTTTACCTATGATCTAGTGTTAATGTGATAAAAACAAGTTTCATGATTACTTATGGTGGATCATGGACTCTGACAGGAGAGGTCAACACTGAATGAAACGCGAAAGACTTCCTCATTCCAACCGAAGACTGGGCTGTGCAGATAATCTTGCATCAAAGTGCCACACATGATACATGACACCAGTGGCCAGGAAGTCGGGCAGAACAATCACACAATGAAGGTACCCCTCCCTGCATTTCTAGTCCCCCTCGATCTTTAACCTAAACCCCCTTTGGTTTCATGAGTGAAATATCTGCACTACCGCAAAATGGTGTGGTATAACATGTATGAACAAGAGGAGTATATGATACGCTAGTACACTAAACCTGCTATGATATTACACAGGATGACACCAAAGGTCTAAGTAACGTAACGATTTTCAGGAAAAGGTAGGTTGGTGTTCTAAACAGACAAAGATAGCCTATTACAAAACAAGCTTTGGAGAAATATGTTGTTTGTTTAAGTCCTGCTCTTGAATGTATATTTGGTATATTTGGAGTATATCCTAGGTATATTTAGGAGTATACCCTGCATGTCTATGGGAAATATCCAAGAAATGTTGCCGATATTGTCTATGTATATTTGGGGGAAAATAATTATCATGTTGCAAAAGTAAAAGCAAAAAAATAATGAAATCAATGAAACTTCTTTTTAATTACAATATGTGTTTCATTCTGCTCATGCATACATTATCTTGTAACATCTCAGGTTACTGAGGAAACCAAGCCAATTTGATGGATTGCCAAACAAAATTAATATTTCTAAACTTCAAATTGATCAACAACTTAAAAAGTGAGTATAGCAAGATGTTTGCCAACACATGCTGATCACAAGTTCCCCTTTGAAGTCATGTGAGATATTTGTACAAGTAGCCGTCTGGGGGCTGGTCAAATAACGTCCGAGCGTAGAGGACTTGATGTCTCTTTCTTAACCAATCACATCCCAGTCTATCTCCAGACAAATTTGTTTTACTGATCACGGTGCAATATTGGCCTGCCTGGCTATCCCCACACATCATGTCACTCAAAGAACATACTTCCTCCGTTCGTAAGTTAAATACGCAACAGACGCGGAAGAACTTAGAAAATCTTGTCCCTTCATTTGTAAATATTATCGTCTGTAACTTTTTCTAACTTCTCCAATGAGAACACTTTTTAAGTCTGTATCTGTTCCTCCATATTTCTAAAATCAGTCACAAACATTCGGAAATACGATTTTGTATCAGCAATATATATGTTTAGCAACGTCAGGTTTGCATGTTGACCATGATGCACAAACAGAAGCAGGCATTCTCCACTTCCTGATATATGTACACACGGAGCTCCATGTCCTGTTTCAAGAGCCCAGAACGACCATTACCATACACAGAGCATGGTTTTAACGTAACCTTCAACACTACAGATCTACACGAACCCCAGCATTTCACGGGTCCTGACTGGGAATATGATGGTCTTGTTACGTAATGAAACAGAATACTCTACTATAACATTTTACAAATACTGTAATTACGGAACTTGTATATTTCCTGTCAAGTATTTGGCACGATGAATATTTGTGTGTGCCTTGGGTATGCAATGCAAACATTTGTCAGTGACTATTCTGAACAACTGCACGTTTTGGATGCACATTTCTGTGTTGCGTAAAACCCTGACTGAGACATTCATACAAACTTATTTCACACAAATAACTTTTGAAAGTTGCAACTTGTGGAAATAGATATAAGAATCGTCAGTTACAATGTCGACAATGTTTCATGCTTGTTTAATCAACTGTTGGTAAACTAGAATTTTTCAAGCCGGAAACTAGCTTTACACTACATGTAATATAACTACTATAGACAATGGTTAAGATTGTTTTAATGATTCATTTAGTTACATGACTGGGTTCACGAAACTGATGAAGTATCCATGAGTGGTATCAAAGGTCTTCAGGCTAGGTCAACACATTCACCACTAGTCCACCAACATGATACCAGAACACAAAGGTCTTCAGGCTAGGTCAACACATTCACCACTAGTCCACCAACATGATACCAGAACACAAAGCAAGTCAAAATCTAATCATGGCAGTCCTTTACTACAATTTGAGCGTAACAGAAACAGTTTTCAAAATTTTACCACAAACCGGAACTATACAAAACCGACAGAAAATGAAGACATATTGAACAGATTTTGTCTCATTAAAGTGAGGGAGTGAGAATGGTTTTACGACGCTTTTCGCAATATTCCAGCAATATCATGGCAGGGGACACCAGAAATGTACGCATGTGGGGAATCAAACCCGGGTCTTCAGCGTGACGAGCGAACACTTTAACCATTAGGCTACCCCACTGCCCCTTATCTCATTAAAGCAGGACAAGCTAATATATACATTACAGTGAAATATGATAAGATTTCATACTGGCTTTACAGTCTAAACGCTAATGGGGCGCGGTGGGCGAGCTGGTTAAACCGCCAGGTTAGTGATCCAGCGAGGTTGAGGTGTCGGGATCGAGCCCACCTGTGACCGGGTGTAGAAACCTTGGAGTCAACATTGTGTGCAGACTCTTTCCGTGTTGTCACAACCCCTAGTGTACAGTACACAACACTGTGCACTTAAAAGAACCCACGAATCCGTTGGTATATGACCAGATGGTGGCCACATGAATACGTGCAAACATCTAGTTGCGGGTACAGCAACGTGCAATGAACTTGGACAAAGTACTGTGACTATGTGTCCCAGTCCACCCAGCTGTGAGTGGGTACCTCGTTAGGATGAGCAAGCCGCAATAACTCGGTGTGCCTAGTGGCTGCAAGAGTTGTATACTCCACAAGGAGTTGAGATTGATAATAAGATGTGCCGTTGAGATTGACATCCAATGATCGAGGGAAAAACTACCAGCGCCTTGAGCAAGCACTAGTTGCGTGGATATGTGCGCTACATAAATATCCTATAATAATAATGCACATTGGGTGTTCAAAGGTATACAAGATTTTCTTAGGCTGTATACATTGGTAACATTCTTATTTCACTGGAGCATTAACTGGAAAGAACTTTTTTGTATGATTTGGATGTCCTGAACTTCTAAGATTACTAATTCAACAAATAATACAAAGGTTGGAGTGTTATGGGTTACACTGTGCTTCAAGTAATTACCTTGAGAATAGTTATTTGCATGCAGTTAACTGTCATGTGACATGTTAGCTCAGTACAGACAGGGCTTTGAAAGGCCGATAAAAAATGTCTTCCTGGTTTGAATGGAAGCTTTCAACATATCAGTACGACTCCAGTTGAAGCTAGTTTACAGTGGGTAGACATTGAAACCTTGACTTCCTGACTCCAGGCTTGATGTTACCCCAGCTTGGGAGTCATACCATGCATAAACCTGTTGTCAGACGACAAGCACTTGTGTCAGCCTTAGTTTTCACAACATGACAATGTGGTAGTAACAATTCACTGCGTTTTGGTAGTCGGCATGTTCCATATCAAAAGGCTGCATGTCATAATATAATGTACAATGGATATAATTCAGTTGACTGAAAACCGTACTGAAAAATGCAATTTCTTTGGTTGTGAGCTGTAACCTTCAGTCCAATATGAATGATGTTTTCAGCAATGAAAGGTTATGTAAATCAGCAACATATCTGAGCAAGGGGTCTTTTCACGAAGCAACCTATATTAATGTTAACCTTAACTCCCATTCTTTAACACTGCACTAAATGACTTAGTGCTTAGTGCTTTGTGAAAGGAGGGCCTGTTCAATAACTTTATTAAGAAGATATCAATCAATAGTGTGTATTATTCCCAAAATATCACCTCAACACAATATTGCGATTGTTTCTGTGTAATGGCTGATATCAAACCGTAAAAGATCTGTAGATTTTCAGAAGACGATACTCTTCACTATCAACCGATCCCAGTGGAGATAGTATAGCCCCAACATACACTGCATACTTCCCAGCAATAGAACATTCTAGATGCTTGATATATTGGAGAGGAGGGAGGGACTGATGCTGATGCAGGGATCTGTATCCTTAACAGTTCTATTCCTGATCGTTTTACTCTGCCTACGGTGAAGTTGACACCGAAGGTCCTGATACCACCAAATGATCCAATCCTCCTGCTGTCCACAACTAGAAGTTCCACCATCTAGTGTCATATAGGTGAGGTGAGGTGAAATTGGGTTTAACGTTGTGCTTGAGAATGTTTCGCTCATATGACGACGTGCATGCGTGTGCGTCTGCTTGTACTAGCCCAGACTGAAGCTGGTTTTATAGTGCTAGCTCACTGAGATACCATGCCGCAGTGAAGCATGAATACCCCACTCAGACACTTTATACTGACTCCAAGCCAAGCAGTCCTTGTTGTACCCATTAATGCCGAGCGCCAGGCAGGGACCAACAAGTACCATATTTTAACGTCTTTTGGTATGACGCGGTCGGGGATCAAACCCGCAACCTTCCGCTCTCCGGGCGGACGCTCTAACCACTACACCACGGAGGCAGTCAGTGTCATATAGGGAAGATGATGAAGGTCTCCAGACATTGACATTGCTTCAGAGGTGGGGTTGGAAAAGCTGGAAGCCTGCATCTGTGTTGGACACAGCAGCTTCCAAGTTGAGGAAATGGAGACTGCCCTAGACTATATTTGGGCTCAGGAACCAAGCCCTGTGTGGCTGCAGCTTACAGGACAATAATTCTGATACAGCAGGTTCCATCATGGAGAACAAGAAAATGGATTTGAAAAAAGCGATCGAAAGATTTCTATCAGGTAGGCTTGAAAGGACAGATGGAACAGAATAGGTAAATCCTATAGAAAAAGAGCCTGAAAATGATCTGACAAATATGGTCAATGACACCTGGACATCTCCCCCATGTAATAACTAGTTTTACTCACCAACTGCTGAATAGCAACCTCCACCAGCTCCCTGAAGGTGATCTTTGAGGTCTTGTGTGTTTCCCATAAGTGTTTCACAAGCTTCACAATGACCTCAGTGTCAGTCTCAGACTCAAACTTCATCCCCTTGTTTTCCTGAAAATAACATACAAATTATAGAAAAGAGAAGAGAGCTGGACATTGCAAGATGACAAATACATTCAGTTGTTTCTCACTCATGTGCATCCTCCATATTTCATACCATCATATTCCTGTATAATGACCTCTGCCCATGTGATATGATACAGGGACACGGTATGGACATAGACACACGATGATTCAACATTGTATTTTGACCTACCAGTCAGCACCTTCCATTAGCCAGTGTATGATAGGTCCATTTTATTCTGATAAGTGTCCAGGACAATTTCTAACACACAACTTTGCCTGTTGACCATTTCTCATAACAGTAACTTCCTGCAACATCTCCTTTCCACATGTATTTTACTTGCTGTGGATATCTACTTTCACGCAAATCTAAATGCCAAATGGTAGTGATTCAATGGATTCAGGTATTATAATGAATGAATCAGTTTTGTTTTCCGCTGCACTCAGCAATTTTCCAGCTATATGATGGCGCTCTGTATATAATTTAGTATGTACCCGACAATCCAGTAATCAACAGCATGAGCGTCGATCTACACAGCTGGGATAAGATGACATGTGTCAACTAGGGCTGCGCAATATAACCGGTTTACCGGTATTTACCGGTTCAGACATGAAAACGATACGTATTGCAATACGCTGATCGAAAACCGGTATTTTGACATGCATTCGGAAAACTTCGTAACACTCGGAAATGTTCGGATATGTCCTTGTTTCATTTGTGCCAAATAGTATTCACATTTTTATTTTATCATGATTAAAAGTTGTTATTAAAGCTTAATCAAGCCCAGTGATTTTGTTGTGTTTTTGCTCTATAAATCAAGAAGTAACTCGATTATAAGTAGTTTTTTGTTTAAAAATACTTCATGCAATATATTGCAATATGAAAATTCTCTGCAATACCCACCCCTAGTGTCAACCCAAGTCAGCGACCCTGACCACCCAATCCTGTTAGTCGCCTTTTACGACAAGCATGGGTTACTGAAGATCAATTCTAATTCGGAACTTCGCGAGTTTCATGTATTAACACAGTGAAGTGATCAAGTAGGGTTCAACATCATTACAAACAGTATTCAAGTATCCCGTCATGTTAGCTTCCCCTTGGAGGAAAAACAAAAGTGAAGCATGTTTCTGACATTTATCACTTAGCCAAACAGCTTAGCCTAGTAATGGTGGTGACAGACCTAACCCTGTGATTGGGATGAACTGGAATTCAAAAAACAGACAATAAAATGGAGGTGAGGTGAGGTGAAATTGGATTTAACGTCGTTCTTGAGAATATTTTGCTCATATGACGACATGCATGCGTGTGTATGTGTGTGTGCGGCTGCTTGTACTAGCCCAGACTGAAGCTGCTTTATAGTGCTAGGCCACTGAGATACCATGCCGCAGTGAAGCATGAATACCCCACTCAGACACATTATACTGACTCCAAGCCGACCAGTCCTTGATGTACCCATTAATGCCGAGCGCCAGGCAGGGACCAACAAGTACCATATTTTAATGTCTTTTGGTATGACGCGGTTGGGGATCGAACCCGCGACTTTCCGCTCTCCGGGCGAACGCTCTAGCCACTACACCACGGGACAATAAAGTGGAGATATCATGGATAATCCAAGGTGGTCGCTGACTACAATATGGGAGGTGTTTGCTGCATGGCAGTACACATTCAACAGCCCCACTTCTCAGTTATATACAAGTATTGACATGTAATCAAGTACCAATCAATCTTCAAGACATGGTCAACATTCATCTGACATCAATAAATATATTTTTTGCCACGTCGACTCACAGAATGTTTTATTACAGTGTTAGATATAATGGGCGTTTTGATCTTTGCTATCAGATTCCTTTGTAATTTCTCTGAACTAAATCTTCAAAGTGCGAAGGATTACCTCATATGTGTAAAAGAATTATTGAATGTACCTATCACGTAAAATCTTAATACCAATTTAACTGCTCTTACTTATCAAAAGGCTAAAAATGTTCTTAAAAGCACTGCTTAAACAATTAAACAAACTGAAAAAATATTTATTGAAAGATTTCTGTAGACGTAACATCTAACCAAAGCGAGCCAGCGAACCATTGTTAAAAATGTATGCAGAATGATTGACAGGTCTTCCTTCTGATGTGGCAAAATGACTCTTGACTTTTAAATACGATTGACACGAGATACAGTCATTAAAAGGCCATTTAAAACCTGCAGATTGTGTCCCGAGTCAAGAGAGCCGTGGAAAATTACGGATTGTCTGGATGTGCAATGCGTGCCTGTCCCAGAGTATTTTTAACTCATAAGGTCAACCAAAACACTTGTTTGTGTATAAACAGCACACACAATTGTATTTCTCCTTGTGAAACATGTTAAACTAAAGCATTCCCAGACACTCCTTCCCCATGTTTAGAGACCAGACTTTTGTTAACATGAAAAGTTCAGATGGAGATACAAAAACACAATTTATAAGAAAGGGGACCTGTAAACGGACATGTAAAAATGGTAATACCAGTGCATTTTTATGACGATTCACCCCCTATAATAATTGCAGTGAGTGTTTGCGTGATAGTAAAAACACAACTCATGTGATTGGGGTACTGTTGTAGTCCCTAATGGTATTCCTGGTGTTAAAAATACACACACTCACTCACTCAATCTGCATTTAAATTGAAGTGGTGAGTGTTTGAGTGAGAGTAAAAACAACTCTTATATCATTGGCTTACTGTAAAGGACTACAATGGTTGGGTTTACGAGCATGTCTTTATTTAAATTATAACGTAGATAACAAGAACACAATATATATTACCACTGCAAGTTTACTACCCGTAGAAACCCTCAGGACTGCTTGCTACACATAAATCTTCTGATATACGTCACACCTGTCAGACGCCTCAAATAGAGTATTTATACAACGGAGAACATAAACATTAATTTCGTTTGCCTTTCACAGTCCCCCTTTTGAAAATACTCATAAAGCAAGGTACAACAATTATGACCCCTTTTTCAGGTAACACATATGACCTATCAAATATATTAGCAACACCTTACGTCATTGTTCACAACCACAATGATTCAACTCATATTTTGTAACACCATCATAATAACTGTCAGCATAAGCTGATCGTGAACTTAAACTGAATTTAGACCACAGTATCTTTATCTAAAAACACAGACGAGAAGGGCCCACTCAAAAGGTGGCAGCAAGCTTTCAATACTCTAATGAGCAATATAAAAAAATGTGCACTGTGTCACATCCAGATTTCCATGATATATATTGCGGTAGAAAAAACGTAATGATTGTACTAACACTTGTACACAGAGACAAGTCTGGTCTTGATCAACTACCTTGTCCTCACTGTCACAAATACAACCAAATCCTCCGATCAAATCTCAGCATATCTATCAAGACATGCAACCTGAGCCTTGCAAAGTCAAGTCACAATCTCTTGACCTATTCACTGTAGACTCGGGTGTGAATATGTTTTGAAAACAGCATATAATGTCAGGCTTTTGGCCTGGCCCTGGAAAAGCATTGTTCAATGTGTGTCATTCGGGTAAGATGACCTAGTCAATATATAAGTAAGATGACCTAGTTAATATTTGAGTAAGATGGCCTAGTCAGTATTTGAGTAAGATGGCCTAGTCAATCTTTAAGTAAGATGGCCTAGTCAGTATTTGAGTAAGATGACCTAGTCAGTATTTGAGTAAGATGGCCTAGTCAGCATTTGAGTAAGATGACCTAGTCAGTATTTGAGTAAGATGACCTAGTCAGTATTTGAGTAAGATGACCTAGTCAGTATTTGAGTAAGATGACCTAGTCAGTATTTGAGTAAGATGGCCTAGTCAGTATTTGAGTAAGATGACCTAGTCAGTATTTGAGTAAGATGACCTAGTCAGTATTTGAGTAAGATGACCTAGTCAGTATTTGAGTAAGATGACCTAGTCAGTATTTGAGTAAGATGACCTAGTCAGTATTTGAGTAAGATGACCTAGTCAGTATTTGAGTAAGATGACCTAGTCAGTATTTGAGTAAGATGACCTAGTCAGTATTTGAGTAAGATGGCCTAGTCAGTATTTGAGTATGATGACCTAGTCAGTGTTTCGTCAGATGACCTAGTCAGTATTTGGGTAAGATGACCTAGTCAGTATTTGAGTAAGATGACCTAGTCAGTATTTGAGTAAGATGACCTAGTCAGTATTTGAGTAAGATGACCTAGTCAGTATTTGGGTAAGATGACCTAGTCAGTATTTGAGTAAGATGACCTAGTCAGTATTTGAGTAAGATGACCTAGTCAGTATTTGAGTAAGATGACCTAGTCAGTATTTGGTAAGATACCTAGTCAGTATTTGAGTAAGATGACCTAGTCAGTATTTGGGTAAGATGACCTAGTCAGTATTTGAGTAAGATGACCTAGTCAGTATTTGAGTAAGATGACCTAGTCAGTATTTGGTCAGATACCTAGTCAGTATTTGAGTAAGATGACCTTTGGAACACAATATATCCTGAGGAACAAGTCTAGATACTTCAAAGTGGAGCTTAGTATACAGAAGTGTACCCTAGCCAAAGTAAATGTACAGAAACGTACTCGGTACCCTAAACGGCAGACGCGTCCACTTTTCTCAAGCCGAAACCGAAACCGGTTTGTGGTGTTGTTCCAGATCGCCTGATTTCGAGCGCTTTCACTGCATCGCCGAGTATTCACTTTGTATTCTAACGCAAGAAGATCAAGAAGATGATGACGATTTCCCATGTTCATTTACGACAGCTGTTGGTGGGAACGATTTGGAAACGGCCCTTTCAGGACACCCAAAACTTAAAAAGTTTCGCTCCTGAGAGAACAGCGATGGATATGTACGAAGTATGTCACCCCCATTGTAGACAGCTTTCAATTTTCTGTAAAACGGACTACAGGGGACTTCATGCTCAAGAAAAACTGATTGTCTGATATTTTATAACTGACAGCGGAAGGAAGGTATATAGTTCTTCCTGACGAACACGCACTGCCATGTTGAATATTTCCGCGGTTTGACAGGCAGGAATAATTTTTAGTACGTGTTCGAGAAACCGGTTTAGCGCTCATCGCGATGCAGAATGGGATCGTCCTAGGGTCACAAGGGTACATTTCTGTAGTACCTGTGCCGACAACGACCCCTTCAGCCTTAGTGACAAGTGTAAAAGACAGCTGTATATTGGCAGTTCTGTCCCATAGAAGTGCTTTTGGTCAAATTTGGTAATATAGCAGCAGGCACCCACAAAACTGTCGTCAGTTGTTTGATCAGTTGGTTAGTCAATAATGAAGAATACAGTGAATGAGTCAGTCTAGTTTTACGCTGCTTTTGGAAATATTCCAGCAATATCATGGCAGGGGACACCAGAAACAGGCTTCACACATTGTACCAATGTGGGGAATCAAACCTGGGTTTTTAGCGTGATGAGTGAATGCTTTAACCACTAGGCTAGCCCATCGCCCTATGAAGCATACAACTTTATGGATTTCAACTTCTTGTTTATTGCATTGAGCAATGTTTCAGTATACATTCTTCCACCTTTATCAATTTAAAACTCGGCAGTCATCACCAAGCTAGGGTGTGACTTGGCTCTTGCTATCATGATAACCTACAAATTCAGAATTGTGACCATTTCTTATTATACAAAATATAAACAGTAAATGATAGAAAGTATCAAGCTATGCAACTTACCAAGAAAGACTTGATATCTTTGTAATTTGTGATGATTCCATTATGTACAATCACAAACTCTGCAAAACAAACCACAATATGTGAGATGTACACATATCACCCAGGAGTCACACTATTCAACAAACAACAATACAAACATTGTATATTGAATTCCTGATTCATGCTTTGAATGAAACTCGTCATTCATGCATGACGATCAAACACACTAACCACTGAGCTACCCACCACCCTAAGTCTGCCTGTTAAAAAAACCCAAACCATGTAACATCCATAAAAGATGAAAACATTTTGGGATCTATTTTTTACATTTTCTTTTCACCCAGAATATATAAGAAGTACATTTATCTTATGAGTGAGTGAGTTAAGCTGCTTTTAGGAGAATCAAACATAGGTCTTTGGTGTGACAAGCAAACGTTTTAACCACCAGGCTACCCCACAGCCCCACTGATGCTCAAATATTAACAATGTGAAATTCACTGGTCATAATTAAGCATAAAAGTAGATCTTATAACCTTCATGTACAAAACTGAAGACATGAGATGTCCCTAGAATCAAATACAACAGCATCACACCTAAAACAAATTGGGAATTGCTGGCTTACAAACAGACATGAGAACTATCAAAAAGAATAATGTCACAAATAAAATATGTCTTTCTTCACCATTGTGAAACCAATCATACTCAGTGTACATAGATCTGACTCAAAAGACTGACTGACTGAGTTTGGTTTTACGCCGCTTTTAGCAATATTCCAGCAATATCACGACGGGGGACACCAGAAATGGGCTTCACTCATTGTACCCATGTGGGGATTCGAACCGGGTCTTCGGCGTGACCAGCCAACGCTTTAACCACTAGGCTACCCCACCGCCCCTGACTCAAAAGATGAGGTCCTGTAAAGTCGGAGAAGGTTTCATGTCTCGGTGTAAGTAGGACACTGTGTTGCTCGGTGTAAGTAGGACACTGTGTTGCTCGGTGTAAGTAGGACACTGTGTTGCTCGGTGTAAGTAGGACACTGTGTTGCTCGGTGTAAGTAGGACACTGTATGTTGCTCGGTATAGAAACTGTGTTGCTCATGTCACAGCAGCCAGGAGAAAGATGATACTGTAGCAGGTGGCAGATGAGTTTACTGAATGTATTAGCAACTGTATAGCAACTGTACCCAGGCATGCAGGCCTGTCACTACCACAATAACATAAACAAACAATACTTGCACCTACTTTGTGTCTCAGGTACACACAACTGCCCATGACTGGCTAGGATAAAGAAATATCCTTTTTTTTCTTCTGCTTGTGTACTTCCCAGAAGTGAACATGTCTTCTCAGAAAAGTGAGTGAGTATGGTTTTATGCTGCTTTGAGCAATATTCCAGCAATATCATGGCAGGGGACACCAGAAATGGACTTCACACATTGTGGGGAATCGAACCTGGGCCTTCGGCATGATGAGCAAACACTTTAACCACTAGCCTACCCCACCGCCCCTCACAGGAAAGAGTGAATGACTATGTCAGACGAGGACAGACATGCCTGCTCATCTGGGATTAATTGTGTTCTACCCAAATCTAGCCATGTAGATACAGCAAACTATGAACTGCATACTCTTTAGATTTGACAAACAGTGTGTACCCCCTGTTTGTGTCTACTGTTTCCTTGCAATATACTGCAGGAGAATAGTGGACACATACAGATGGTTTCATACTTCATGGAGTATTGACCTGTGACCATCAGTTGACAAGTGAACCCTTAATGAACTTATGAATAAGATCCAAGGCAATAGTCATCTATCAAGAGCAATGGGGTAGCCTAGTGGCTACAGCGTTTGCAAGTGTTGAAGACCTGGGTTTGTTTCCCCACATGGGTGCAAAGCATGAAGCCCATATCTGTTACATAAAAGTGGCATAAAACCTTACTCATTCACCTACAGGTATCAGCAGAACCAAGTGAAACTGTGTCAACACGTAAGCAATAGGACTGCAAGGATAAGGCCAGCTATCGCTTTCATACTATTCAGTGCTTGAACATCTTATATGATATTTATATAGCGCACATATCCACGCAACTAGTGCTTGCTCAAGGCGCTGGTATTTTTTTTCCCTCGATCATTGGATGTCAGTCTCAACGGCACATCGTGTTATCAATCTCAACTCCCTGGGGATCATACAACCCATTCACAGCTGGGTGGTCTGGGACACATAGTCACAGTACTTTGTCCAAGTTCACTGCACGTTGCTGTACCCGCAACTTGGTGTTTGCACATATTCATGTGTCCACCATCTGGTCATATACCAACGGATTCGTGGGTTCTTTTAAGTGCACAGGGATGTGTACTGTAAACTAGGGGTTGTGACAACACTGAAAGAGTCTGCACAAAGTTGACTCCGAGGTTTTTACACCCGGTCACAGGTGGGCTCGATCCCGACACCTCAAGCTCGCTGGATCACTAGCCTGGCACCTTAGCCAGCTCGCCCACCGCGCCATAACAGGTCCACTGATTCTTGAGGATTTCTGTTCTACCTTTTTAAGTTAGGGACCCAAGAAATGTCTTTAACATGAACATACATGCTAAATTTTGCACACTCACTTCCTTGAAATATTACATTTACATCAGAAAAAAAAAGAAACTCACCATTGTCAGGGTCAGACCTCTGGGGGTGGCTGTTGCGTTGGCTGGGTTCTCCGTGGGTGGCCCAGCGTGTGTGTGCAATGCCAACATGGACATTGTAGGGCTTGTCGAAGTTCACGTCCTGTGCACCTGAAATATAATAGACGTGTATAGCACATCCCATATGTGTTCACAATATACTGCTTGGGCAGCTTGGTTGCACTGACACATAAGTTACTGATCTGCATGGAACTGTCGAAAAATTTGAAGTCATTAAAAATATTCACAAGCATTGTCACTAAGGTGACATAATCCCCCGTCGCAAATTATCAAATCAAACTTATAAAGTAATGAAAGTTTAAGTTAAATGTCAACAAAAACATGACCAGTCAACCTCTCTTGATATCTTGCTCTTTAGTTGTTCAAACACACACATATTTTCAAGACTGACTTTGACCTTGACATGAATGTCATAGTGTATGAAATATGCAAAAATAGTACTAAAGAAATTGGTTATTCAAAACATTCAAGGGAAGTGTTGAAAGTCGATGAAGAAAATCCAGTGAACCGTTCTTGAAATATCTTGCTGACAATTCAGGTTAATATGCTGAAATCTTCAAAGTGTTTCTGTGACCTTGAAAATTAAGTGAAGGTCACCAAAATTGACTGAGCCCTGCACCTTCCCTAGATAAAGCTTGGTGTCAAATATGAAGAAAATCCAATAAACGGTTCTTGAGATAGCTTAACATGCAGGTTTACATGCTGAAATCTTCAAAGTGTCCCCATGACCTTGAAAATTATGTGAAGGTCACCAAAATCGACTGGGCCCTGTGCCTTCCCTAGATAAAGCTTGCTATTGAATATGAAGAAAGTCCAGTCAACGGTTCTTGAGATAGCTTAACATGCAGGTAAAACGTTAAAGTCCCCTTGTGACCTTGAAATGAAGGTCGAGGTCACCAAACCTGAATTGGACCTTTCTTATACTGTGATGAACCTAGGTACCAAATATGAAAAGAATCTAGTGAACAGTTCTTAAGATATTTCAATTCGTGTACGTACGTGGAATCACAACATGCAACACTGGCATATTTTGGATGAAATCCTTGAATCCCAACATGCAACTCTGGCCTATTCCAGATGAAATCCTTCAACATGTTCAATTTCAATATGCAACAATTCCACAATGTATGTCAGGAAATTCTTACATCGTACAGCCTCTTCCAGCATGTTGACCTTGCCAATCTGTCTGATGACTTTGATGAAACATTCTTCGCTGTCAATATTGCTGCCCTCAAATGCAACACCTGAAAACACAAACAGCTAGTATAATGGGGATGTACAGACTAGTTCCTCAGTCTGACAAGTTTAACTTGACATAAATGTCCTACTTGGGCCTTGTATTGTGTATTAGAATGTTTACAAATCATGTGGCCAACATTTCAGTTAAAAATGTTTTCTTTCTAAGCTTTCTACCATCACACAACATTGTTGGCATGACTGTTAGCACTGAAAGATCATTGATTGGGTTTCATATTTCTCAAAGACATACTTCATATGTATTATTCACCATTTCTTACAAACTGTGGTTATAAAATCTATGGGGTTTGCATTTTTCATCTTTAATTTGCCTAATGGTAAAACAGAAATGAGCAAAACTAACTTATCAAATGTTGTTGTTTTTTCTAATTTCATTTTCAAATTTCAGCTGGGTAATTTTCTCAGTCAGGCTCATAAGCAAAAGAAGCATTAGGTCCAGTGAATCCAATCTTGTGAGAAGTACCTTCTATATATCGGATATGCCAGTAATGTTCATTTTAATGACATTTTAATCCCATTTTCACAATGTTTCTGTTGTCTCTTAGCATTTCAGCTAAATGGAATCAGAGACCCCCAAATCACCATCAAAGAAACCAAGCCTGTTTATACTTGCACAACCTAATCTTCAATATATGCGAGTAATGTTTATTTTGATATTTTAATTATTAATTATATTTTGGCGAAACTGCAATATTATGGTTCAAGGGAAGTTACTCTCTCTCACTGCATCGGACAATGTTTCTGATGTCTTGTAGTGCTTCAGCTACATGGAATCAGAGAACTTCAAATCACCATCCAAGATACCAAGCAGGGGCGGATACAGCTTTTTTAGAAAGGGGGGGTGCATACTATTGAGAAAAGGGAGGGTGCACATGTCATTTTCATCCGAGTTTCAATGGTCATTTAATAAACTTTCAGGACAAAAGGTGGGGTGCGCACCCCTGCACCCCCCTTCTGGATCCGCCTATGCCAAGCCAGTTTACACCCTTGCTCTACACAACCTCCAGTCAGGCTATGTGTGTTGGACACAGCAGATATAATGATGTCTGTCACAGGATGCAAAATGGTCATGTAAGAGCTCTGTTACATAACGGTGGCGGATGATACATTCCAATATATATGGTGATAAGACACATAGTGTGATGCAATGTTAAATAAAACATTTGTAAAAACAATGCTGCTGCAGATTGATGCCTGGCATTCAATGAATGAGCAAAAAATGCATTTATACCAGTTAACATTATTACAGTGAACATATTGTCCTTTTCCACAATTAAACTAGAATCAGTAGACTGTGTTGTAAGACAACAAAACCAATGACACATTGAGCTTTCTATCAATTAGAACTCGGCAAGGCAAACCGGGGGTTGATAGCATCAGCAATAGGGGTGGGCGATAATACCGGTTAACAGTATATTGCAATTCGAACTTCACAATACGATATATTGCGGTAACCTTTTCGCGAATCAGTTCACCCGATACGATCGGTAATTTTCATGATGTAGTCAAAACTACTAATAACATTTGTATTTCGCTTTTTCTCGAGTTCCAAACTTTAGAGCGAAGTCTTCAAGTTCGAAACATTTTCAACTGATCTCTTGTACAATCACATCTGAGTCCTGCCAGTGGCATTGTTTCAAAAGAAAGGTAACAGAAATATAACTACCTTAAACCATGTGTTATATACTTTCACAATATATTGCAATACATATTGCAATACGCCAACACATATCACAATATATCGCAAAATACAAAAGTTTTGGCAATACCCAACCCTAATAAGCAACAATCCACAATATCACTAGGTGATTCTTTCAGTGCACTAGTTGTTATAGATAATACTGGTTCACTAGATTCACATTATATCTGTTCATTACTTGTTATATATCATATCTATTCATTACTTGTTACATATATCTGATTACTAGATGTTGTATATATCTGTTCATTAGATGTGACATCAAATCTGTTTACTATATGTTATATATCATATCTTTCACTGTGTTATATAATATATCTGTTCACTAGTTATATATCATATCTGTTCACTAGACGTGACATATTAAATCTGTTTACTATATGTTATATATCATATCTATTTAATATTTGTTATATAATATATCTGTTCACTAGTTGTATATCATATCTGTTTACAAGTTGTTCTATATTTACATGATCACTAGCTGTTATACATTATATCTGTTCACTAGCTGTTCAATATTTGCATGATCACTACAGTGGTTCATCCCCCGAAAGCACCAGTGGAGATGAATTGTAAACAAACAAGTTCACGAATATGAAGAACACATATGGCGTAAAAAGTATCACTTATTGCAGTACTGTCTCGTTACATGAGAGCTCATACATTACTGACACATCACATACTTTTGAAATTTTCATTTTTATACCCTGAACACGGAGCAGCCTTGCAATTATGTTTGAAACTTTCATCACGAAATAAAATCTCAAAAAAATGTTTGCTTTGTAACATGCATGCTTGTGATTATGACAACCATGTGATATCTCTCCAAAATAACTTTCTCATCTCTGATTGATCTACTTGATGCTGAAACCTATGTAAATATTGAAATGTTGGAAGACGACGAAATGCTGTCAACTCTCCAAGGTGCAGATACACAGTTCACACGATCCCTAGTGCGGGACACATATAATGCTGTCATTACCCGGTATAAAGTTTGCAACATATGTCTATCATTTGAAACAATATCTAGAGTTTGTATTTAATGGAGACACTCTGTGTACAAGTGACGCCATCTTTTTTGTGAATGTTTGATTATATTTCTGTACATATCAATTGTCAAATATGAATGACATTGTCCTGTATGTAAATACTAATATAGATATATATTCTTCACAAGTTGTTCTATATTTATATGATCACTAGCGGTTATACATTGTATCTGTTCAGTAGTTGATACATTACATCTGTGCACTGAAATACCTCAAGACAAAATATTAAAAATTGGTAAAAAAAGTGTTTATCAATTGTATTGACCTCAACATCTTGCTAAACATTTTTACAAGGCTTCTATTTCGACACATGTAATAAAGATAACAACTGCTGTCTATCGACACAATAGGACAATCTCTTGCTTCCTTGCTCATCATCTCCACACTTCAGATCCTAAACCCAGACACCATGTCCCACTTAGCTGATAACTCATCAGTTAGTGAGTGCATTATGATGCTTGCAAAAGTGCTACTGCACAAAATTGAACTTATAACTATCACGAAACCGATTATATACTACTCACACTTTGCTAAGGATCACAAAAATTCGCAACTTTACTTAAACGTAGATTTATAATTTGAAATTGTATCCATTTAAAACTGGATAAATAATGATATGGTAACACATCTTTAGGAAAACAGCCGCTTTAAGCTAAACGTATGCACTTGATACATGAGGAACCATAAAAACGGTTTCCATGGCACCAACCAACCATTTTGCAAATCATGGCACGGGTCATTGACAAGTACACAACACCTGTCAATAGCAGGTATGGGATCCACCAGATGAAATAACAAACTAAAAACTTGGATCCATGCTTACAATAGGCTTAAATATTTAAACCAAATTTGACCCCACATCATAGTTTTCTGTTGAATAAATGATTTTATCCTTAGCAAAGTGTGAATAGTATATATAGAAATGAATGGTTTTTGTGTATCCCCATTACATTGTATCCTGCCATATTGCTGTGGGTGATACAGACTATTCAATAAGCTCCTATATCCTCACGATACACATTTGTCATTTTGGATGTCGCGCCAGCTACTTTCAAACAACAACATATCTACAGTCATTGTGATACACTTCAAAGAATAGTCAAGGCTGCCCAATTATTACCCCAGTCTACAATCTCTGTCAGATTACATCCACATAGTTAGCTTCCTTTGGCAATCCTATAAAGTTTACCCAGACTAAAAAATGACCAATCTAAATAGCAAATTCACAGCAAAGGGGTAGTCAAAATGATTACACACACTAAGGATGAAAGGAAACAGCAAGGTCACAATACAATACATATCGCAATAAAGAGGTAACAATATGATATGTATGACAATATGCATATTCATCTCAATTCACATGGATTGATTAAAGATATTAATTAAAGGTTCCGAAACAAAAAATCGGTGTAGACATGTTTTCTTGAAATAAATCTGTAACAATGAATTCATTTTCACAATATTTCTACGGATGAAATATCTGGAATGTCAATAAATGAGTTGTAAGTATTTACCAAGTTTATCATGTAGTATCAAAACAAAAAAACTGTATCGTGTATTGTTGAATGAAAACCCACAATGCACCAGTGCAGCTAATACTATGTCACCCATAACAACACTTTATTCATGCGTTGTTGAGGAGTCATATGTATATCATTCAAAATGTTGGGTTTGAATTAATCATGCCCCTGAGATCTAAACTAGACAAATACATGCGTGACAGATTTTCCGGTACCTCACAGCTGTAGCAGCTGTCGTATATTGACCATCCATCTGTATGCAAACCGTTCCACATTACAAAATACAAGAAGACCCCAAATGTACAGCTAAAACCCTCAGTAATATGTAAGCTACAGTTATTACAAACACCCACTTTTAGTTCCTTATAACCGTAGTTTGTTATACATATTTCAACTAAAACATACAACAAGTTGTCAGGCCGAAAAACAGTTGAAACTTTCATCAGTTCGTTACAAGCATGTTCGTTGTAAGCGTGTTCGATATAACATAATCAACAATGTAAGCTTCAGAGTAATCAGTCTGTAATAAGGAATATAGATGAACAGTATAAATAGTCTGGGAAACCAGTCCAAAACAAGGTACTGATCAGTAACGGTGTGCGAATTGTAGGCGGCACTATTGAGGGGGAGACAACTATTGCGATAATGATAGTCTATTGCAACATACTATTGCGATAACGATAGTCTATTGCGACCAACTATTGCAATACTATTGC